GTTCAGGGGTCCAGCGCTACCAATCGGGTCACCTGGGTTCACTGGTATCACGTTTTGTCACTGGTATCACATTTTGTCAGGGAGCAGCGTCTGTGCTGTTACACTTTCAGATCAGTAGCTTCCGTTATGTAAATAGTCTTTATAATATAACACCCTGTTGCTAAAATGACCGCATCGAAAAATATGGGGGGGGGGGGGGGGGGGGGAAAAATTCCATAATATGAAAAATAAAATAAGAGAAACCCAAAATCTATGTGCCATAATGCAGTTGAAGCATAATTCTAAAGAAATTTGAGGCATTTTTCCGGAAAATAAATAAAGTTTTTTTAAGAGAATATTAGTCAAGATAATTGGTTTATGGTTATTTCTGATAACTTCTGACCTTATTAAAGGTATATGGTGAAATTTGATAGTTTATTTGATTGCATACAGTAATGTTGGGCCAAAACTAAGGGGTATACTTGAAGGTCTAGTGGGAACTATTTCAATGAAGATTTCGCGATTGTGTTAGTTGGGCTCCGGTCACAATTTTTCTGCCAGCGTCAACAAGACTGGATATACTACAAATAAACTGTAGTTACTCACTCCAAGCACCCAGTTGAAGTGATGCGTTTACCATTTTTATTATTATGGCAAATATTATCATTTTTATTGTTATTTTTCCTTTGGAAAAAATCTCCAGATCACAGAGTTCAAGAAATATCTGTGAATATGTACCAGTAGTGTAAAAATGCTGAGACTAGGAAAATTGAATAATAAAAAATGCTTTGCGTGGCCCAAAGTCGATCAATCAGGTACCTTATCGCTTGAGTGGGCACTGTTTCTTGACTACTAGCGAAATTCTTCTTTGTAAGAAAAAAGATAACACTGCACGCAAGCTACCATGCATGCCCTCGCTCCGACAACAAAACCAATCTATCAACTGCTGTCTCATTGAGAGGGCAGAGGGCGGTGTTGTAGGAATGATAGTGCTAGGAACAGAGGTCCATATAAATAGTATGGGTTACGGTTAGCCGGGAGTATAGGGTCAGTATTAGTAATTTGTGTGGAAACGTATTAATAATTTCTATGGAGGGCGAAATGAAAATAATACATGATTTACATGTTGTTGTACTAAACCCGTTGACATATTATTTTGTTCCATTTCACTTTCTTTTTACCCGAGGAAATCAACAAGATCAAACTTACGAGCAGCTTATTAATGTAGTAACAAAGTAGTAATGCACAACCAGCCCGGCTTTTTCACCTTCTCAGACGAGTTTTGAATTTTGTAGGTAAGCCACCTGATACATTGAATCTAAGGTTCATAAAACGTCAATACAAGTTAGAAAAAAAAACTAATTTTACCTGTAAAACCAATAAAATCGGTAAATCACCTTTATAAAACACTGACAATGTAGGACTGGAGATATGCCAAATGAATGATTAATCATTAACTGTGCGTGTTAGATAAGAAGAAACGAGTCCAATTAATCTTTTGAGCTAGCTTACTGCTATTCGATTATGACCGACAAAAATCCCCGCACTTTTGGTTATGAGTCATGCAACTGAACCTAAAGAAAAACGAGGGGATTTTTCATCGCAAAGCAAATAGCAAGGCTTTATTGACCGAAAATGAACTTCTACCCTTGCATTGTTAACACAAGCTGGTACTTACTGAATGTTACACACTGTTTATTGGTTGCTATAACAATAGCGTCTGACGCTTTGCGATGAATAAATAGAACAGAAAGGCATATTTGTCGGTGTATTAACGCACTAATATATCATAAATTCATAAACTAACGTTCAGAGTACGGTTATCCCCCTCACAAACATTTATTAATGAATCAAACTTGTGATTCCTGTCCGTCCAAACTGTTCACGAATACAAATTTATTGCTCAGAAGGCCCGTAGCCAGCAATTTCAAATGGGGGGTTCTTTTTCTGAAAAAGTGGGCCTTTTCCCGTAAAAACGTCATGTACCTAGATCAAGTTTTATCCAGATTGGACCTTTTTCCAGCAAAAGGGGCAGTTCTTTCGAACCCCCCGAACCCCCTGTCAGAAATGTGTTGGCTTTCTTCACAATGTCTAACAGTAAGTGATAGCGTCTGCGCCAGCAATTTTAAACCAGGGTCATATTTTCTAAAATGAATGACCCTTTTCAACCCCTAAGTTGACCCAACCTGAGGAATGGCATAAAATGTGGGTCACATTTTTTATTTACCGACAAAATGGTGGTTCTTCTGAATTCCCAACGCCCCCTCCCTCTTTCTCTATGTCTTCGGACTGAGTGGTACTGTTCACAAAGTAGTCGATCCACCGTTTTTGCCACGGCACCCTTCTTCCATTAATGTGATAATGATAACGGAAACTAGGCGTTGTCGAGGGGTAGCCATCGCACGTTGTCAAAAGTTGCTCAACCCCAGGGCCCCACCCACACGGATATCTATGCCACTGCTTGGGTCTTGATCCTAGATAATGATAAACGTCATATCAGAATAATATTATAGGAAATCTGTTTTATTGCATGGCTATTTAAAAGTATCGATGAAAGGATTTTTTATCCACCTCACTCTCTGGAATCTAAGGGTCCCATTTCTGTTGTTCCTTAATATAAATTATACACCATAATTACTGTGGCATAAAATATTAATTAATGATAAATACAGGATCAAATTTAAATTAAAAAAATTAAATTGAAAAATCGTTAACCGCTCCAGAGCTTTGCAACTGCCTGGGTCTTGGCTATTCATAATGGCCACAAAAATAATAAAAACATAACCACCCCCCAGCACCCCCCGCCCCTCCCCTCCCCCCCCCCTTAATCCGCTGCTGTCTGAATTATACGTGCGTTCATTTAGGCTTGTATTCAAACTCTTTATACAAATGTCATACGTCCAATTCCATATGATTTGGTTTACAAATAATTATATTACAGCTAAAACGGTTCGAATAGAGCTTTTTATTTCAAATAGCATATCACCTTAATGTTTATAACACACTGACATGTAAGTTTGATGATATGCCAAATGGTGATTAAATATTAACCGTGTTAGATTAGAAGAAATGAGGTCTTTGACGTAGTTTACTGCAGTTCTATTATGACCGATAAAAATTCCCATATTTCGGATATGAGTCATGCTACCTCAGAATTAGGGGGATTTTTCCTCGTGAAAATGCAAGGCTGTATTGACTATATATAAAAATGAACTAGACTTGTTTACCACAAGTTGGTAGGCTACTACTTACTGAATTTTACACATTGTTCGTTCGTCCCTTTAACAATAGGGTCTGACGCTATGCAGTGAATAAATAGATCAGAGAGGCATATTTGTCGGTGTATTTGCACACAAATATATCATAAATTCAAAAACTAACGTTCAGCGTACAGTTATCCCCCTCACAAACATTTATTAATAAGTCAACCTTGTGATATTTGCCCGTCCAAACTGTTCATAAATGTAAGTTATAAGGTAGTCAGAAATAGCGAGTACTAGTAAGCTTCACTGTTGACACACTATATTGTAAGTTGTAGTTGCCCAATAAAACAAAAGAAATACAGTGTTCATTGTTGACACAAGCTGTTGTACGTTATAAGGTACTCAGAAATCCAAAAATCGAGTAAGCCAAAGTTGCCCAAAATTGACTTCTTTGTATGGGACGACCGCATGCGCGCTGTACTGTTTGGTGTGTAAACCATTTAGACATAATAGAAATATTTGACACGACTGTCTGAGTGCAAGGTCACTGCGTGTCTAAGCGTAACTGTTTGTATACCCGCTTATCGAATCAACCAAATAATGCACTGAAAGAAACTTCAGTGCAAGCGCACTATTACCTATAACATGAGACGCCACTGAAAATTAAAACAGACAAGATAAGATTTTCAAAAACAAAGAAAATGATGTAATGAAAAAATTAAATACACAAGAAAAAAAGACTTAAATAAAGAAAACAATTATAAAAGCATTAGTAGCCATAGCTACCACAAAAATAAGGCAAACAAACAAATAAATAAATAAATAAATAAATAAATAAATAAATAAATAAATAAATAAATAAATAAATAAATAAATAAATAAACAATCCTCACACAATCCTCACGCCGATGGTAAACCAGGCGTCCATTACTAACTACTAAAAGTGTGGGGATTTTTGTCGGTCATAATAGAACGGCAGTAAGTTATCTCAAAAGACTGAATTCATTTCTTCTTATGCAACACAGTTAATATTCAATCATTCATTCGACATACCTTCAAACCAAAATGTGCTGGCTTGCTTCACAATATCTAAGACCCCATTTCCATAGATTTTAGATCGATCTATCCCTCAGGGCCTGTGGGGAGTCTCACAAGATTACTGTCAGCTTAGCCGGCTTAAGCGTCTGTCCCGCCTACTAATTAAAGCTGTAAGGGGTAATTAACTATGGTGCGCGCTCGGCTGACTGCAATTTAGCGTGAACCCCCAGAGAGTTAGGTCGATCTAAATCTTAATCTCTGGATCGATCTAAATCTCTGGGAATGCACCCCAACAGTAAGTTGTAGCGTCTGCGCCAGCAATTTCACACCAGGGTCACATTTTCTAAAATGAATGACCCTTTTCACCCCTTTAGTTGATCAAGCTTGAGAAATGGGATAGAATCTGGGTCATATGTTTTATTTACCGACAAAACGGTACGTGGTTATTTTGAATTCCCAACGCCCCCCCTCCTCTTTTTCTCTCAGTCTACGAAATGAGTGGCAGTGTTCACCATTTTGCCACGGCACCCTGCTCTAATATTGATAAGATAATTGAAATTAGGCTTTGTTAAAGGGCCCTGTTATAAGAGGGCTCCTGTTACTGTTGTTACTTAATATATAACATACAGAACATGTTAAAACATCTTAAAATAAACCCATGAAAAAAGAATAAAATCCACGAAAAATATTAAATCATTAACCACCCGATAGATATCTATGCAAGTCCACTTTGATAATGGTTTGAACACGGGTAACAACCCGAGAAACCTGCCTTCACGCATGGCTTTATGTAAAAATAGAATCAACCACCCCCAGGGCCAGCCCACCCCAAGTCGCAGTGAAATCCCCATCAACTGGATTAGGGATTGTTTTTCAGAAGTTTATATTCGAACGTTTGTAGGGCTGAAAAGAATGCTGAAAAAAGAAGGAGAAAACAAGAAGGAAGAGGAAAAGACCCGGTGTAGAAGTCCCCTCACATAGTGAGTCCGCTTCCCATTTCATTTGTACCAGTACGCTTCGTCCTAGATTTTGACCCGCTCAGTCAAGCTAACCTTGGTTATTGTAACATAAATCTAGGTCAGTTTATGGAAGTGGGCTTGCTGTTTCAAGTACCCTTTTCAATACACCGGTGTAACGTGACAGAGGCTCTGTTCTCACAACTTTTAGATCGATCTATCACCGCGGGGAGTCTCACTAGATTACTGTCAGATAATCCCCCTTAAGTGTCCGTCCCCGCCTACTACAAGCTTTAAGGGGTAATTAACTTTCGTGACCGCCCGGCTGACAGCTATTTAGCGTGAACCCCCAGGGAGTTAGGTCGATCCAATGTAGGTCGATCTAATCTATGAGAATGGGGTGAGAGAGCCCCCCTTCCCCCCCCCCCGCCCCCGCCCAATGATATTCCTCAATATTTTAACTAAATGTAGGTCAGCTTCTCGAATTACATATTGTCGCGTTTAAAGAGGAAGAACCAGCGGAGTGGTGAAGGGCAAAGCCGAAAGACCGACAGAAAAAATACATCTTCAAAGGTAAGAAATCTTTGCACGTATTTTCATAGCATCGCCCTCAGCGTAATAAACGTGTGTTTCTTACCTGTCTGTTTCTTGTAATTGTATGTAGGCCTAAGTACGCTAGTAGGAGAAAGTAACAAATTAATTGTTAGAAAGTTTTTATGTATGATAGATCCGCATATCTGATTAACCTGTTGAATGTATGGCAGACTTGGTCACAACTGAACCCACCCTTAGCAGCCAGTGATTACATGTTGACTTTAAAATCAAAATCATATGGGGGACTGGCTTGACCTATTTAAATTCAACATGTAATATTGATCGATGTGCAACAGCATCGGAGAGGTAGGCCTACTACCGCAGTACATGTCACCCTTATCCTGTACTCCTACCAGGGGCACAGAGAGTTTTTTTTTTTGCTAAATATCTACAGGTACATATCTATATACTCTGGATGTTTCGAAGTTTTTCTGTGCATATGTCTGTACATTTTTTGTCCAGACACCGGGTATTCATGACCTCATTACCTGGCTATCCTCTGGTGGAACGTGTTGTATATAAAGCTATATTTAGAATAAAAAAATCAATATTTCTATTTTAGTCTATTGTTAAATTCCATTCCCCTTAAAAATATATGTCAAGGTGCAATAGGAAAATAGGCCACTAGCTATGCAAGGGGGTTTTCAAGGGGGATTTTCAATTTATTAGCGAATTGCAGTGCAACGAAACTTCTCCAAACCATTCATTTAAGCAGCTCCAGTGCATGAAAGTGGGGAAAGGTAGGAAATCTAGAAAATGCTCTCTCTCTCTCTTTTTCCTCAGTCTCTCTTTCTTTCTTTCGCTCTTTCTTTCTTCTTTCTCTCTCAGTTCGACTTGCAGAATCTTTTTGTCTACGTAAAATGTACTGATAGTTTCAGACTGTCCTAAAGGGATTGAGCTCGAGGTCTGTATCTACTATACACTTAATTCCCATACACCTATATTTTAGGGCTCATTCTATGTGCGACCGCGTTCTCCATTAAGTCCCCGTCACACTTATTCTGAATCAGCAAGAATCAAGCAGAACCAGCCGGAATGAAGAATTTTCTAAATTCGTACTACATTCGGAAAGAAATTTCAAATTGACCTAAATTCTTGTAAGAATGCCGTTGGAATATTCAGAATGCGCTTGAATTCGCCTGGAATGATTCGTGCACATTTCGGCTGTATTAGCTCGCAAATGCAGCTCGAATGTAGTTGGAAAACTAGGAATATCGATAATGCTGTCAGAATGCAGTCAGAAAATTCAAAATTCACTTCGAATGCCGTACGAGTGTAGTTCGCTTTCTGGCTGAAATAGAATTTCAGCAGCCAGATGCATTCGAGTTGCATTCCGGCTCATTCTAGCAGGATTTGAAGTGTCTTGCCATTTCGGTTCTCCCTCGAACGCGATCAGAATGTTTCGAATGCTGTCGGAATGCCCTAAGAAAATTTAGAATGCACTCATAGTGCATTTAGAAAACACTTGATAATGCCATTTGATATTTCTCCACTTGGAATGCACTCGAGCATGAGAAAAACATTCGGGCCGGCCACAAAAAATGGGTAAAAATATTTGGAAGGCACTCAGAAATTTTAAAATGCTCTTCGTATATCCAGGAACTTAAAAAGAATTGTCTTTCCGACGGCATTCTTGCTCATTCCGCCTCCAGTGTGACGGGGCCTTAAAGCTTCATTCTAAAAATAATATATAAATAAACAATGACAGGTTCAGCCCTCGTCCATTTAATATCTAGATATAAGAAAGGGACGAGTCTGAAACATACTGCAAAATGCCGTCAATTTTGCCTTGTTGTCATAATAATTCACAGAGAAAGAAAGTATACTGCATCTTTCCTCATTTGCGCACTGTTGAGTATCTAGTAAATGCGAACCTCGTGGAATGTGTGCGCTGAAAGAATCCAACATAACAATGGAATAAAAGCGGTGAGAAACTAACGGCGAGCCCTACACGACCAGCTCGTTGCTGGCGTCGATTGCATCTCCAACCGCCACTACATCAAACAAAGACGCACATCGGCTTGCAGATATTTATATATGTGCTGGTAACTATCGATCTGTGCGCATGACGATGATTCATCAGCCGAAAATGTGTTGGGGAATTTCCCTTGTAACCACAAATAGACACTTCTTCTAACTATGAGCAAGAACGGGGAAATCCAACGAAAATCCCCAAGTATAGGTTATGCGATGCATACCGGATGCGCAAGCGCAGGGGGAATTTTGTTACCATTAATTTCAACCGCTTTTTTAAGCCTCAGAAAAATTCCCCGTACACAGAAAATGGACATATAATAATACCGACACTGCAAGCGTAGAAAGCAAATTTGCAATGTGAAGGCGGCGGGGTGGGGGTGCTGGGGGGGGGGGGGGCGTCAAAGAGGTTTTTTATTAATTGGGATACATATGCGGATCATACGTTCATTTAGGCCTGTATATAAACTCTGGATATACACTTTTGATAAAAAAAAAAATAGTCACAAGTCCAATTCCATGTTTTTGTTTACAAATAATACTAATAATGTTACAGTTTTAGTGCTTTAGTGCTTTTAATTCCAAATACTATATATAACCCGATTTATGGTAAAATACAAAATACTGGTGAAGATATATATAGTATATACCTTTTATTCAAATCTAGATACGTGCCTCAAACCTGATGTCCCACATCGACTTGAACAGAGGGTTAAAATTGACAAGACTCCGCTAAATCATGACAACAAGCTCGAGTTCTGTGCTTTTAGAGTGCTCTTTGGTTTTTCCTATGCTTAGTCGATGTTTCACCTATAAATTATGACATCAATCAGTGCGGTATCGTTATGTACAGTACATGGGACTGTGCAGAATTTGAATGGTGGTCGGGGAAGGGGTCCTGAACACCCCTTTTGGTTTATGCAAAAGCTCTATAATGATGGAGAAAATTAAAAGTATAAGAACTCTTCGTATGAAATCTATATTTCACAATAAAAAATTGTAAACAACTCAAGGAAATATAATATATTTTATTTTTCCACCAAAAATGGCAGTTAGTGCAATTATTCTAAAAACTCTGCTTGTCATCCGACCATGTGACCTCCATAGATGGCAATAGTCTGTAATAATCTCTTAAGAGATACAAAAAAGCAAGCTTCTAGAAAAAAACAGGGACTAAATTTGAATGTAGAAATGGATTCATAAACCATTGGTAAAATGAGAAAATTGTTGATTACCCCAGGAACATTTACTTATTGGTCAAAATGAACAGTTGTTATCCCTGTATACATGTAATGCCAATACTAATTAATGAATGGAAACGCACCAATTTTATTAGTATATCACATTGTACAAGCTCATGATAATCTATGTACCACAACAGAAAAGAAATAAATCGAATTATTCCAGTTGACAGTCAAAATGCCATCACAGAGAGTCGCAGGAACTAAGAGGAAGTTGGGCGAGGATGGGGAGAACGACCCCTGTACATTACAAGATGTTATACCCAAGAAACGACGGAAAATAGAAAGTACATGAATTATATATCGGTCAATATTACCAAATAATGTGTTTTCTTGTTGTAATCGTGTAGTTGTAGTTAATGGGCAAACCCTTTTCTTCATTTTATGCTTAAAGTGGTATTAATTTTAAATGTAGCATCAGGCATTTTTTTCGGAAACCCACTTTGAATTTAAAAACTTAAGCGCGTGTTAGAAAAGCAAAGGATGTACCGTTTTGACAAAATGCATGAATTATAGTGAACCCATATTTTTGTTCTGTCCTACAGTGAAAATGCCATCACAGAGAGCCACGAAAACTAAAAGGAAGTTTGGCGAGGATGAGGAGAATAATCCTTCCGCAATACAAGATGTTACACACCAGAAACGACAGAAAATAGACAGTATCATCAATGTTACCAAATAATGTGTTTTCTTGACCTCGTTGTAATTGTGTGGTTGTCGTTAATGGGATAACCATTTTCTTCATTTTGTGCTGAGAATGGTTCTACTTTAAATTTAACATCAGGTAATTTCTCGAAAATTGACTTTGAATAAAAAAACTGAAGTGTTAATTAGAAAAGCAAAAGATTTACCGTTTTGACAAAAATGCATGAATTAAAGTGGGTCCATATTCTTGTTTTGTGCCACAAGAAGAGGGATTGTCCATTCCATTTCAAGTCCAAGATAGTTTCAGCGAAGGTAAGAGTGAATCTCTCTCTCTCTCTCTCTCTCTCTCTCTCTCTCTCTCTGTGTGTGTGTGTGTACATATGTCAATCCGCTCTTCTTGTGTTTCTTTAACTTTCTCTTTGAAGGACAAAGATACTACTCTTTGTGTCCGCCTGTACAACAGAGACAAAGCCGAGAGCAGAGTTCGACCCAGCAGAACAATTTATTGTTTGACGATAACCCAATAGTGACTGAAAGACCAAAACATCCCCAGTATGCAATTGAACAGAACAGGATTTTGACTTTTGAAAACTGGCCCGTCAGTAAGAGGCAAACACCAAGAGAACTTTCCATAGCGGGGTTCTATTACGCCGGCTTTGGGGACAATGTAAAATGCTTTTTCTGTGGCGGGGAACTGAGAAACTGGGAGCCACAGGATGACGTATGGACTGAGCATGCGCGTTGGTTCCCAAATTGTGGGTATGTGAAACAGTGTAAAGGAGTGACTTTCATCAGAGAAATACTGCAACGCAATTCCGCCAACTGCCAATTTTCAGGCCAAGTAGGTCGGTCCCCACACACCCATCAAATAGAGGCAAGAGAAATAGAAGCTAGGTTAGATACTCCCTCTGTCCAGAAAATCATTGAAATAATGGGTTATTCCAGAATTGCGGTGAGAAAAGCGATAGAAAATAGACTTAAGAGTGTTGGCGACGATTTCCCCAATTTACTGTCTTTAGTAGAAGCAATTGGTGAAATTGAAGAGAGACAAGAACTTGAGGTTGTGGATGGGGATTCCTGCTGGAGGGGTGACCCTCAAAATGGTCTACTTCACAGTGGTCAATCTGTTCACCCAATGAATGGTAAAGTTGTTGTAGAGTGACAAATGCAACACGAAGAAATGGCAGTCACAGTGCAATAAGTGGACTCCAATCAACCAGTTTCAACACAAAATGCTATGGACACAAGACAGCGTGCTTGTAATCACAGCTTTTGGCACGTGCATTAACTTTGCAGTCCGGCTGGAGAGTGTGCTTACAAATGCCCAAGTAATGTCCTCTTCAACTGACTACGCGCAAGATATAGACTTTGAAATAATAACAAATGACTGACATATATGTTAAAAATAAAGAAACGTTAAAGCAAATGGTCGAGAGACAACTCGATAATTTTTGTTCTGACTGAGCATTGGATAAACCTATGTCCCTCTTCCTAAAAAAAAGAAAAAAATAAATAAATAAAATAGGGAGGGGCTGGCGCAGCCGGCTCTCAGCACTGTTTTGCATTTGCTTCTTCAAGGTGTTGCTTGTTCTGAATTATTATCATCACCTTAACTGTCCTCAAACCTTTCGTTGTGTATATGCACCACAGTATTATCATTAATATATTGCAACCTTTCAATGTTAATACTTCTCATAGTGATGCTTATATTCTTAGTATCAAAGCTTCCGATGTACATATCTTTTATGTTGCTTATACAGGTAGCATTGTTATTGATATTATCATTCTTCAGTGTACATAATTTTTAAAATGTTGTTTATACTAATATTAAATACTATGGCGTATGTCCAGGTAATTTCCATGGAAATTAGGCTTACGTGACTGTTAATGTTAATGTACAGTATATTATGTAATATAATTTATATTTCAATGGCATTTATATAAGAAAAAATGTCATATAAATATTACATTTTTCTTGTTTGGGAAAAGGGGTATAATTAGTACTCTTAAAAATTTCATACATGCTGTAGTATTAATTCAATCAGTGGAAGCCTTTGTCTGTTAAATCCACACTTGCGAAGCCATGTCGTATAAGTAACTTCAGATAATATTTCACAGTTGTTTCAAGCTATAGTAATCTGTTCGAGCTTGATTACATTGAGTTATTAGGGGGTGCCCACCATGAGGGGGTGGACATGTGTCTGAAATAACCAATTAGTTTTCAAGTTATGTGATGGACAGTTTAATTGATTAAGTTTAGTATGAAAAAATGTAAACTTAAATCTAGGAGGAGACGGGATAAAAGAGAGAGAGAGAGAGAGAGGAGAGGAGATAGAGAGAGGCTTGTACCATGTATCTGTTAGTGTAGTAAAATATATTCTGTTGAAGTTACAACATGAAGTCGTTTCATTCTTTTCCGAGTGCAGGATTTAAGACAAGGAACCTAGGAATCTCTGTAGCAGTATTACAGATAGCGTTATCCAAAGATGTGAGCCCATTGTGCCCAAACCCTGGGGTGTTATTATTTTAAAATAAATTTTTAATTAATGTTGTGTGGTGCCCGGTGTAAGTAAAAGGGAGCTTCCCCACAACATGGAGAGCTGTTAGGTGACACTGCTCTGGTCGACCACAGCCAGCAAAACTTGCAGGGCGTGATCATCCATTTAAATGATACCAACAAGGCCTTCCCTCTAGTCGTGAATGTGAGGGGTGGATCCAGAATTATTTGAAGAGGATCCATTCTTTTAAAAAGAGTGACAGGCCTCTGATGGAAAGCCGACCCTACCCCCCTTATTGTGGGTTCGGTTTGGAGGGCAAACGGTGCCATTTGGTGCAGTTTAAAGCTATGGTTTAGCTCTTCAAAATTCTAATATCAGGAGGGGAATATTGGTGTGATTTTTTCCAGAAACCGAAGACGGGGACAGGACCCCCCCTGACCCCCCCTGACCCCCCCCCCCCAAATCCGCCACTGAGTGTGGCCTCCTTAAACAACCGACCCAAGGCACGCTCGACTCCAGTGGATCTAAATGCAAAACCTCTTGAGACAGTTTAGACGTTCTGCTTACTTTGGATCAATATGTAATACTTACTCCTACGACAACGTAAATCAAAAATTGTTTATGTTTTTTGTCATCATCAGTTAAATGTGGGCTTATAATGCATTTTATAATATATCAAAAGTGCAAAACGAATGAAATGAAATAAAATAAAATAAGGAAATAAGGTGTAGTTTAGTATGTCGGGATTCCACAGTCAGTATGTCATGATATGGGGGCTTCTCTTTGATCCCTTATAAAGAAGACTCGGTGTGACAACGAGATAGGCGATTAAAATAAAAGGCTGTTGATTCAGCAGTAGGTTCTGCAGCCTATACCCACCTCTCCCACATTTCTTTGTTTTCCCTTAACCAAAACTTGGGGTGTTACTAAGGGGGTGTATGGGGACGCTATGCTTTTACCACCTAAATATAAGATAAAAACAGGCCGATTTGCCTTAGCATTTAGGGCAAAACGATGCAAGTAATGGCTTGATTTAGCATGCTATACTTCATAAGGGAAGGGAAAAGAGGGGTAGAAGACCCTTGGAAGCTAGGGGACACATAATATTCGTTATTATGTCCAAGATTGCATGCACTTTTCTCAAATCTAAGATCTAATATCCGTTCATTAGATCTTAGCTCAAATGGAGAATTGTATCATGGATTAGCCAGAAAAGTTTATATCTATGAATATCTAACGGAAAATTCATCTGTGACCCTTGTGGAAGGCGAGTCCCTGCTGATGCTATGTAAAGGCGATTTCCAGTGGGAATTTCATGTAAATTCACGTGTGATTGCAATAAATAGAATCAGTTTCTTTCTTTTGTTTCGGACATGAGCAGCACTGCATAGACAGAGTTCGATGTCGTGCAGTATGATGGTGCACAAGTACAATTTTACACAGACATATGTGTGTGTGTGTGTGTGTGTGTGTGTGTGTGCGTGTGTAAAATCTGGTGCAAAAGCTATCTGTGATCCTTAAAAGGGTTTAGTGGAGTCACTGTTTATTTATTAATGGTTAAAATTTTCCCAGAACACGTGTCTCTAGTGACGCTATGCCATTATTGGAATCGGGGATTTTCGTCAGAAAGCACAACCGCTTGTAACGGGGATTTTCGCTAGAAAGCACGGCCCCATGTATCGGGATTTCCCGTCAGAAAGAACGGCCGCTTGTGCAGGCCTATAAAGGTATAAAAGACTTGTAGCTCAAATATTGTGCCTTGTGATGGTGCGCTAGCCACGGCATACGGTTAATTGTGGAGACCGGTGCATGTGTGATTTTTTAAAAATATTTATTTATTCATTTATTTATTGCAGAGCACTAGCTTTATTCACTTTATTTGGCCTCCTTGAGAAGGACCTCTAAATGGCGTGAATGTCACCCTGTATTACAATGTTATATTTCAGAGGAGGTGGTAAGAGCAGGGAAGAAAACACAAGCCGATATATGTACAGGAAACTGTTTTAACGTGAAGACCAAGAATATAATACAGCAATAAACCCGTTAGAGCCATAGACTTGGAGCCTCACAGCCCAGTCCCTGAGTACTACCAAAAGGCTAATGTACAATGAAAGGAGCTGCCTAAATCTCGAAGAAGAAAAACTCTACATGTAAAACAGGCTTAAGTTTAGAAGAGTCATTTTCAACCTCAAAATTTGAAAACATCAAGATTAGTTAAAGCAAAATGGCAACACTGTAGCCTCTACCAGAACCAGAGATTGATTTTTCACTAGATATTCACAGATTTGTCTCCTAGACTGGGTTCCCATCCCTAGATCGCACTAACGGTCCATCTCCACGGGGTCTCTCGCTAAATTACTTTCAGCTCAAGCGGCTTAGACGTCTGGGACGCCTACTAAAGCTGCTAAAAGACAGTTAATTACCCCTATCAGCCTCAGCAGGCTTGACAGACATCTAAGCCACCCAAGTCAATTGCAATTGAGCGACAATCCACTCGGAGATAGTTCGATCCAAAGTTGTAGGATAGTCTCTGGGAATGGTCTCCTAGACTGAATTCCCATACCTAGATCGATCTAACAGGATCGGTCCATCACCAATCGGTTTCTCGCTAAATTGCTTTCAGCTTAAGCGGCTTAAACGTCTGATACGCCTACTGAAGCTGCAAATCGATTATCGATTAACCTCTAGCTGCTGCAATGGGCGTGACAGACATCTAAGCCTCTTTAGTTGATTGTAATTTAGCGAGAATCCCCTTGGACATATATCGATCCACAGTTAGTACGACAGGGTCTGGGGATAGTCTCCTAATCTGTGTACTGTGAAATATCCACATAATAATTAATGCGGCCCTGGTGGAGGGTAATAACACTGCCTTTTAGTCTGTGCTGTAACAAAAAAATTTGATGTTTCCTTCTCCCAATCCGACTTCAGGGACGCAGCCAGACACAAGCGATGGCACTATGTACGGGTACTACTGTACCTATACACAGAAATGCCCGTATCCTTTCAATCATCTAGTTTTGGGTGTTCAGTAAACTAACACTGTACGCAAGTCGGTCCGTTGAATGCAGCGCGACTGTGAATGGCACTGTGTATGAAACTAAGGCGCAGATCTACGTAGAGGGCACTAAAGAATGACGGTCGTCTGTTCACCCTTCTCTGTTATATATTATAACGCTGTCACATTGGGACTTTTTCCTTGCGTCAATAATACCCACCAATCATGCAAACCATCGAAAATCCCCTTGTTGCAGTACCGCATGTGCGTAGGCGAAGTTTTACACTGCCGTGTTTACTGAGGGGATTTCCAGTGTAAAGTCCCACATTTCATAAAAATTCCCGTGGAGAGCTATTCGGAATCAGGTGATTGTTGTGTGTGTGTTATAAAAGGCCTTTATGGGATGGAACCTTGTGGTGGCGTGCAAGTTATAGCAGACGGTTAATTGTGGATACCGGTGCATGTGTATTGTTTTTTTATATTTATTTATTGTAGAATGCTAGTTTTATTCATTTTATTGGCCTCCATGACAAACTACGCGTATTTGAATTCTACATTTTTTTTAATGATGTGTTGAGGGAGATTTTACAATGTACATGTCAGCTTGACCGGGAGTGGGGTGGGGTGGGGGTTGGGGGACACTCCCCCTACATTTTGTGATTGTGTGTGTATGTGTGGGTGGTACTTCTAAATTTTCCGTAAGAGATACAATTAATGACAGTTCCGCACTTGTCCATTCCGAGATGATGAGGCCTTCAGAAGGACTCCTAAATGTCGTGAATTTCACCCTATATTAATATTAATCATTTTGAAATTTCAGAGGAGGTGGCAAAAGCAGGGAAAAAAACAACATGCCGATATATGTACAGGGAAAAGTTTTCAGGCTGAGAAAATAATACAGCAATAAATCCGGTAGAGCTATAGACTTGGAGCCTCACAGCTCAATCCCAGACTACTACTGAAAGGCTGATGTACAATGAGAGGAGTTGCCTAAATCCCGAAGAGGAAAACTCTATGTAAAACAGGCTTAGAAGAGTCATTTTCAACCTCAAAATTTGAACAAATAAAGGTAAGTAAATGCAAAATGGTAACACTACACCCTCTACCAGGACCGCAGATTAATTTTTCACTAGATATTCACTGATATGTCTCTGGTGTACTGTACTGTGAAATATCCACATCATAATACCTGCGGCCTTGGTAGAGTCTTTGCTGTAAGAAGAAATTTCGACGTTTCCGTCTCCCACTCCGGTTTCAGGGACGCAGCCAGACACAGGTGATGCCGCTACGTGTACAGGCACTAATAATTCTGTACATAGAAATGCCCGTAACCATTCTATCACCCAGTATTGGGTGTTCAGTAAACTAGTACTCTACGCAAGTACGTCCGTAGAATGCAGCGCGACTGTGAATGGCACTATGTATGAAACTAGAGGCGCAGTCTCCATAGATCTTCGCAGAGGACACTAAAGAACGAAGATAGCCTGGTCTCCTCTCTTTTATATACTGCGCGAAGGTATGACGCAAGCACATTTGGGATTTTTTCCTTTCATCTAATGATATCCATCGGAAATCCCCGCATTGCAGTATCTCGTGTTTACCGAAGGGGATTTCCAGTGTAAAGTCCCACATTTCATAAAAATCCCCGTGCGGCGATTGCTATTACGGAATCAGGTGATTTTTTATGGGGGTGGGGGTGGGGGGGGGGGGCGAAACCACCACTCCCACCCTGACCACTGCTTGTGCATGCCTTTAAAATACCTGTATCAAGCGACATTGTGGGGCACTTCTTTAACTGGACGGTTAATGTAGAGACCGGTGCATGTGTGTTATTGTTTTTATTTATTTATTTATTTATTTATTTATTTATTTATTTATTGCAGAATAGTGGGGAGGGGGGGGTAATCCTTTAGAAACAAATTTTGCGACGGCGATGGTAAGTTGACGACAGATGTGGCAAAAAGTGTGGATAGTTTATCCCCTCCCTCCCCACCACCTCCCCCACCTACATATACCTACGTTTACATGGTAGGAGGTTATTATTATTTTACGCAGACCATGGTTTGTCAGTTTTTCAGTCTAAAACCTATTCACAAATTTTGCTGAAAATTCCAGGATAAGGCCAAGACAGGGATTCAGGAGGGAAAGGGGTTTTGGATCTCCCCTTGTCATACAGTGTACTGTATGTTTTCTTTCTCAGTAATGGACATTTTCTGGTGGAGATTTTCGCTCTTGCAGTGTCATCTAGTTACATCTTTTCTTCTTCCCATATATATATATATATATATATATACTCTGTGTTTTATATTTACCATATATCATGTTATCCATATGCGGCATACATATACGATTATGCAGTATTTGGAATATCGAGGCTAATGACTCTGGACAAGTATATCACACGCAGGCGCGCGCGCGCACACATACACACACACACAGAGAGAGAGAGAGAGAGGGCATGGGGCGAGAGGCAATGGATTGGTGAATGTATACCTTATACATGTACTTGTAGTCGACTCTAAGTTGTATAAAAAAACTGTACTTATTTCCATTTTCATTTCAACAAATTATATCTGCACAAAATTATAGTACAAATTACCAAGAAAGTTAATCCCACTATACTTGCTTCTTCAGTTTACCGTGGAAATGACATCACAAAGAGCCACGGGAACTAAAAGAAAGGCTGACGAGGATGAGGTGAACGCCTTATCCACCTCCCAAGGCGTTAGACCAAAGAGACGACGAAATGGTTCCAATAACGGGACTGGCAGAATACCTCATAATAATGGTGGGCAGCTTCATCTGGACGAGTCTGACAGGAATGTGGGTGAAAATGCTCCTTCATTTTTATACCGGTACCAGCCCGGACACACCCCTCCTCCCGTACAAGTCCAAGATGGTCTAAGCGACGGTACTTTCCCCTCTGTCTGTTTCTTTCTCTCTTCGTTTCTTTTTCCGTCTTTCCCCAGTGTCTTTTTCTTTTCCTTTCCTCCCCTCCCCTTCCCTCTCTCATTGCCCTCTCTTTCTCCCTCTCTCTCATCGAAATGACATAGATGATCAAAAACACTGAGTGCAAAACTAAATGAAGAGCAGTATTAATATATATTAATTGTTTCTCCAGTTGTGACAGAAAAAAAATTATGCATCATATTAAGCTTGAAATAGGTATTATCGAAGTAATTTATCTTTAACGGTTCATTTGAAACGCCTTTAAATATAGAAATGATCGCCTAAACCAACATTTTATTTATGTATTCAGAAGAAAATGTTTTAAATATAGAAGATGGTCTGAGGTTAAGAGAGGTCGTAGACGAGAGCGAAGCAGAACGCCAAGGCCAAAGTAAGCATTTGTCAAATCTACATTCTTGGAAACTTATTGCCCACACTACTGGGATCACTCAGAGTGATGAGTGTCCTCTTAAACTCAGAGTGGTTTTATGCAACTCATTCTGTAATACTTGGTCTCGGTACTCGATCATTATATTATATTATATTATATTATATTATATTATATTATATTATATTTTCAGTACCATGATGAACTTTGTTAAATGTCATCGATTGTTTATCTTTATTGTCATTAAGCAGTATATTCTTCATTTCTAACAGAGCAGGATATGACTTTGGTCTACTTTTAAAAAAATCAGAGTTCAATTTTATGAACATGTCCGTATTTCAGACCCGGGCAATGGTGAGGACACGCGGGAGAGAGCACTTTTAGAAAATGGGAACAATAATGAGGATGTTGAGCGAAGATTGGAAGAAGATGTTTATTATGATATACAAAGTAAAAGGGCCCGTCATGACTGAAAGCGTATTTGGGTTCACGAAACAGCTATAGCCCCAAGATTGGTCTTTACACTTAAGTCAACAATTTGTACTTGATAAGTTCAAGATAAACTTACAGTGGTCCACTGAAATAAACTAAATTATTACAGACACAATATTTTTATTGGGCCAGTACTGATTTATTGTCGCTGTATTGTTGTGTTAAAGAGTTCAAAACATCGGTCTTAAAGATCAGACCACAGATATAGTTCTTGTGAGGCAGACCCTTACTTGATGTTGCTATGGCAACCACACGTCTGATCGCACCCAACATCGTCAACGACTGAAAATGCGAACAAGAGAGGGATTGTGATAAGAAACTATGACTTTACTCTCCACATTTGGTTGTGGTTATTGTACATTCCTGGATGTTGACGTCATATCCCTTTCACACTGCTCAGTTTCAAAGTGCAGCTATTGTTTAGTGTTGAAACATACTTATGCAATCACAATGCAATACGGAGGTCGTGCTTTTTATGGACATTACTGTATACGGGGCATTTAGAAACACCCTGTTTAACACATCTTAGTGACAAGACACTACTACGAGTGCTGCCACTAGCCTGAGAAATGAAGTAACGACTCGGATACCTCGAATATCAGGGTGTTCATCTGCAATTCAAACCTATGCAATACAACAGCTGTCTGTAAAGACGACCTTATTACTCCACATGCCAGGGTTTATTCTAATGTTTCAACCATTATCAGGATCACTGGGAGATTGACATGTATATGAACTAGACTTATAAATACTAGCATATCTCTGTCTGTTAACATATCTGTGCATATTTTGTACTGATCTAAGTATCCAGGGCCGTAGCCTCCGGGGGAGCAGGGGGGCAGCTGGGATTTAGAATTTTCCACACTGGTAGGGGGACACGCCCTAGGTGGTTTCCAAGTTTATGCACCCGGTTTTAATATCATTTAGCGATTTTACGACAATCGTTTACTATCCAATCAAGGTGACAGCCGAGCGTGGATTCTATGTAAAAGGAAGCGACATGTAAATTCACGTGCAATTGCTATAAACAGGATCGGTTTATTTCTTTTGTAAATATATATGTAACATCTGGTGCAAAAGCTATTTGTGATCCTTGTAGGGGGTTCAGTGAAGTCACTGATTAATGATAAATTTTTCCACTTTGCTAAAATTGTCGATAAAGGGCACCCTGTGACGTCATTAAGTATATTAGTATAGTTCTATTATTGGACCTGGGATTCCCGCCAGAAGCGCCGGTGCCGCCGCTTGTGATATAAAAGACCCAAATGTAGCGCCGATATTGTGCGTTGCGGTGGTGCACTAGTTACAGCAGACAGTCAATTCTGGAGTTTGGTGCGTATACATATACTTTTATATAATCATTTACAAACTACTAGCACGTGATTAATTTATGGCCGGCCTATTCTAGCTTGTAGATAATTGTCGCCAAAATATCAATAATGATTTTGGGGTAATTGCATACATTTGTACATATTCACTGTTGAATAGAGACCCAGTTCACACACTAATTATCAGTTATTTAAGAAATGTAGGGCTGAATTAAACCCACGTCTGTGTCGTGGATATTAGAATCTGTGATTAGTTGATTAATCGTTAGCCTGCTCTATATAGAATGTTGTTGTTGTAAAATTTCACTTAAGTGTACTTAATTTATTACGTGAAGGAAGTAACATAATGAGGTATATGAAATAGGGTTTTATTAAACTGAACCAGAGTTTGAGCATATTTTCATTGTCTTCTACCATATATAAATAAGATTAAAATTATTTCGTCACAGCATGAAATTTAATGGTATAAGGACAAAATAATCCTTTTTGAGGTATACAAAGGACTTGCTTAAAACCGATGATAAAACAAGCTTGAATTCTGGTTTTATTCGATTCAGTATAGAGTCATTTCAGTAGATAGACATTTCAGTGTAGGGTCATTTCAGCTTAGGGAGCGTTCAGACAAACTGAAACATATTGTATCAGCTGGATCGTTTCAACTCTGGGGGAGATTTCTCCTAAGTACAATAACTGTAGTCGGCTTAAATGTCTGACATGCCTCTCCGAGTTTCTAGGGGGGAAATAAACTCAAGCTTCTCAAGAAGGGGTGTCGGACAGTGAAGCTGATCACACTGAATGCATTTTAAATTGCGAGAATCTTCCGCAGAGTTGGATCGATCCTGCTTGTACGCCGCTTTAATCTAAACGCGGTCATAGGGAACGTTCCCATAAACCCATCTTACTAGCTGGATCGATCTAACTCATTCAGGGTAAGCGGCTTTAATGTTTGGTACGCCTACACAAACTGCAAGGGGAAACTAACAATAGTCAATTATCCCCTTGTAACACAAGTTTGAAACTGAACGCGGTCACTGAGACCTTTATTCACATCACATAAGCGATACAGTATGTACCGGTACAAATTAACAGCCTAATATCCTGGCTCAGAAAAGTTACCTAATTCAATTATATATATTGATTTGGACTTGTCTGGTATCCCTGCAGTTTCTTAACACCAAAAAATACATTATGGTGCTTCTAACTATGGGTAATATGCAAATTCTTATTCCGTGGAATTACACCAAAAAAAAAAAAAAAAAAATCTCCTGAAAAAATGCATTGTGGTGAATTGCATTGAAATGAAGAAAAACACATTGTGTGTTTAAGCATTACTCACTAAATTTTTCGGCGCAACAGAGACAAAATTCAAGTGTTTGTCAAGCATTATTGTTAAGAATTTAATGTTAAATCAATAGGGGTATTTCTTCCGTGAACGTGGGTTTTTTTTTTTGCGTGATGGAAAAAATCCTGTCATAAATTCCCCCTTTCTATAAATATATATAGCAACTGGGGATTTTCCTGAAAAACTTATTCAATCCTCTTTCTTTATTTGACCATTGTAACCAATGCATAGATATTTAATGAAGCATTGCTGATTTTCGATTAAAACATATGATTATCACAATGTGATTACGCGCATGATGCTTACTCACTAAATATTCCAGATAATGCGAAGTTTTGGTTCACCCACAGAGTAATAAAAAATTTTAAAAATGAATCTATGTATTGAAATGTATCGGCCTTTTCCGGCAGAACACTGATGAATGCATTCCCATAGATTTAGATCGATCCATCTAGATCGACCTAACTCCCTGGGGGTTCACGCTAAATTGCTGTCAGCCGAGCGCGCACGGTAGTTAATTACCCCCCCACAGCTTTTAATAGACTGGACGGACATTTAAGCCAGCTAAGCTGACAGTAATCTAGTGAGACTCACCACAGGGATAGATCGATCTAAAATCTGTGGGAATGGGGTCTAATATAATTAAATAGAAATAATCTTCCATTTCTTCACCACTAGGTATGGGCTATTCAATTAAAATATAAAAGCCTGTGATATAGCCTCAAAAGATTGGGATTTTTGGGTATTGTTTCAAATAAAAAGACTGTTCATGCTCAGCAGTCTTTGTTTACTTTTTGGCAATGTCACAATTCACAACTAAATGAAATCCATGCTGCAATGAAAATAATCGTGCAATTAAACATACATGGCTCTTTAAGTTTTCATAATGAATATGAAAATTCCCCAGCCACTTTACAAATTACTCTCCTTCCATGAAAAGAGAGGTAATAAAAATTACTGTGGATGATACTCATCCGTGTCACCGTCGAAAACAAGGACAGGATAAGCCTAATCAGATAAGCTTTACGCACTTTTCGACGAAAAAAATCCAAATCCTGGTTCCACTTAAAAGGTCTTCTGAGAATCGAGCGGAAGGGAATTTTTACTTACAGTCATGTGTGAAAACAGGGACTGTTCATTAAAACCCCCTTTACACTTGACGGCGTCCCTTCTGCGTCTTTTGTGCCACCATGAAGCTGGCATCGCTTTGGCTGCAAAATGAACGCTCAGTGATCAGCCAGTAGTCTGCACGTAAAGTATTATTTTCTGCTCTCAAACGGAACCGTACCACGGGGTGCGGTAAGGACGCCGTCCAGTGTAAAGGGGGCTTAGGCTGCGTTCATATGAAAAATTTATTTTCTAAAAAAATCTATTTGCGGTATCTTGTGATCACGGTCTGTGCCCTGAATACCCCACGGCTTAATTACGGGCAGCGCGAGCCAGTTACTTCCAAAGCTGTAATTAATTCTCGGTGCTACCAGTAATTATATCGCAGGGTATTCAGGGCACAGACCGTGATCACAAGATACCGCAAATAGATTTTTAGATTTTTAGAAAAAAGATTTTTCATGTGAACGGTCCCTTTATGAGTCAAACAATCTTGGGCACGATCTTTGATCTCATATACTCCCATGCCCAAGGTACACAACTGACGCTATAAATTTATAAAGAGATCAAACCCTTAACCATATCCTAAACCCGTTGCCAAAATCATTATCTATAAACCTATGTTTAAGTGTTGCTCGGCCAAACAGGTCTTGAATTTAACTTCCTTCCTTCCTCCTTTTTTTACTTCCGACTTGTTGAAATGAGTGATTTTCCAAGCAAGTCGTATTAGCTCAGTTGTTATGTTTTAAATTTAAATTTTTAGTAAATTTTGTAAAGGATATATATGTGGAGACTGTTGGACTTTTGATGAAGGAAAAAAAAATGAAAACCCGAAACCGAATCCATAGATCGTAATTTTCTTAACAGTTTTGGACATGTCATACTTTGGTGAATGAAGGAAATGTGTTGAAATTACCAGGGAATATTTTTTCTAAATTAAGATATAATTTTTTATATAAAGATTAGCAGATCAGTTTAAAAAAATAAAAAACAAGAGACGACAAGGAAAAACTAATTATCTTGGCCTAATACCGAATATTCATTTGGTAAGTTAAAATACAGACATTTATATCAATATCAACTTATCAACAATTTGTATTAGCTGCCCAGTACAAATGAAATAAGTTATCATTAGGACTAAGAAAAATAATTACAGCAGTTGATTTTTTAAAAAATGAAAACGTCTCTTTTTTAAACAACTTTATGATTGGGCATTTCATTCTTTACAGAACTTTATACATGGACATATTTCTCTTTACTTCAAACACCATTACTTTTTAGATTAAAATTCTTCTTCTTCTTCTTCTTATTATTATTAGGTGCTATTGTGCTGTAGTAGTAAGTGGAGAAGGATAAGAGAAAGAGAAAGACGGGAGTATGGCTTGAAGGCACATTTCATGTACAGACAAACTTACACAAATCTGTAGGTCGTAAATATTTTAAAATTAAAAATCCAATATTTTTTACTGCTTGTAGATGGCCCGACTCGGCCTCCTGGAGTATGTGGAGGCTAAATTGAAGCAGGGAGAAGAACAGGAGTACAAGTTTGAGGTCGGGCGTTTACTGACTTATGTGAATTGGCCGTCTGCTGTACTTAGTGCATCACCCACACGCCTCGCGAAAGCAGGGTTCTATTATATGGGAAGAGGGGAAGAAGTGTGCTGTTATAGCTGTCATGTACTGATAAAAGACTGGAAAATCGGAGAAAATCCTTTTCAGAAACACTCAGCGCTATCTCCTCATTGTTTACATATGCTTGGACTGGATGAAAACAACGTCCCAATTACTGCACCTACCGATGACATAACGACTTCATCCACGCAGCAAGTAGTACGCGCTGCAACTGATGCACTAGGCAGCAGGCGGCCATTGTCTTCTCTAACGCAATCCACAACACAACCTCGACCTCAACCAAGGAGTACAGGCCTCGATGAGCCAGACAACGCCACCGCGGCTGTTAACAATATCACGCCACTAAGTAGACAGTCTCCAAGGCCAGTTTCTCTCCAGAGTCATCTTAACCATCAAGGCAGCTCTCATGCTGATTCAATGCGAGACGAACTTACACGACTGGCCACTTTTCAAAGGTGAGTAATAATGTCTCTCTCTGCAACAAAATCCTTCAACATTTATTGAAAATAAAGCTGACTCGCCGGAAATTTTTCGCAATAGAGACAGTGTCCACCTGATTCATTTTTTTTTTTTTTGCTAAACAATTCCTGCTTCCTTGCTGAGCTATGAAGGGCGATGATGCCAGCTTGGAATCTGCGAAAAAAAATCACTCCAAAGATTTACTCCTATGTCATTGAATCACCTATAGCACCTATAGCAACTCTCTGACGATATTCCCTCTGGGCTTGCCGTTGCATTCACGATAAGACTGCGGATATATTATTAATAAAGTGAGTAATTTTCAATATTATAGACGACTCTACAGAGGAGATGCGGATGAGAGGAAGATGGAGAAAAGAAGAATTTGTTTATTGTAATTAGTTTCATATGCAGGGTGCCTTTGTTTGACTTATATTTATGTCTTAATATTTATAAGCAAGAAATAAGGCCTTATGCTTTTTTCTGAATATCACCCATCCTAATGATTAATTCTTAGTTCTAACACTATTACATGTAGGACATATCAATGTTTTCTATATAGAAATCATTATCCGAAATCTTTTGCCATTTTATTTCAAATTGTTGATATAATTCTAATTTTAAAATCCCGTTTACCACATGTCTAGCTGAGAAAAAAAGCTTATGCAATTATTACAATGTTTTGATATATTTTTGTATACTTGGTTATATATTTATTGATAATTCAGCAAATGCGGGTAGATATAAAGCAAATAAATATTTAAGGGTTGTCTTGTTGCTTTCTTCATTTTCAATTTTGCGATTTAAAACCCGATATTCCTTTCATTCCAGTTTTCCCACCACGTGCCCTGTTCGACCAGCAGACCTCGCTAGAGCCGGCTTCTTCTACGTGAACGTTGACGACACGGTGAAATGCGCCTTCTGTGACGGAATGATCAGGAACTGGGAGAGAGGGGACCGCGCCTTTGACGAACACGCCAGACACTTCCCTAATTGCTCCTTTGTACAACAGAACCGGCGTAATGTACATGTAGAGTCTAACAATCGCCCACATTTTAACCAAAGTAATTTTTCTTATAACATAGATAGAGGTGTATCAACCCAAAATAATGTTACCAGAAATTCTCAAAGCAGTGTCCCTGGTTCAGAGAATGGTTCTCCTGGTTTTCAAAGAGGTATAATTTTAGATAATCTGATAGAAGATAATCCCATTGTAACGGACAGACCAAAACATCCAGAATATGCTTTAGAACAGAACAGGATAAACACCTTCCGCACGTGGCCCATAGATAAGAAACAAACGCCGAGAGAATTGGCTACTTCCGGGTTCTTTTATGCAGGCTTTGGGGACAATGTAAAATGTTTCTTCTGTAGCGGAGGTCTTAGAAACTGGGAACCCCAGGATGACGTATGGACCGAGCATGCGCGTTGGTTTCCTAGGTGTGGGTTTGTTAAACAATGCAAGGGTGTAGCGTTCATTAGGGGAGTGGCTCAGCAGAATACAAATAATGGTAGTTCATTTCACGTAGAAGCGCGCGAGATAAAGGCTAGGCTAGACACACCCGCTGCTCAGAAAGTTATTGAGATGGGGTACTCACGTGACTTGGTGAGAAAAACGATAGAAAAGCGTCTGAGAACCACGGGAGACGATTTCCCCAATTTGCAAACTTTTATAGAAGCTTTATTAGACATTGAGGAGGAAGAGAAGAGGGCGGCGCAAAATAGTCAGCAAAACGAAAGTGTAGGCGCTTCAGCTAATCAAACCTCTAACCAAAATTCCGCTAAAAACAAGAAAAAGACAGAAAAGCCCAAAAATGTAAGCGCTAAAGCCCAAAATAAAGAAAAGGAGAGTCCCGCTACAGCAGACAAGATAAGAAAGGAAAACGCTGAGTTAAAAGACCAGAGAATGTGCAAGGTATGCATGGATGAGGACTCGTCTGTTGTTCTGTTGCCGTGTGCCCACCTCGTGTGTTGTACCACGTGCGCGCCCGCACTTTCCAATTGTCCCATCTGCAGGAGTGCTATTCGCGGCACCGTGAAGGCGTTTTTGGCATGATCAAAGTATTCAAATTTTACATCTTACATTTATCATTGAAGCCATTCGTTGGACTTTTGATTTCCAAAATATCTCAAGGTTGAATTATTTCGATTTATTTCGATAACCCTATATCCCGTATTTTAGACAAACCACTTGAAAAGGCCCCGACAATTTACTTATGTATTTGTAATTTTATAAACTACATCTTTATACAGTAGTTGAAGGAGTGTTTTCCTGAAAGCTGGTCTAAGGAAACAGTTCAGTAATACTCATGGCACACATAATGTGCATATGCCACAAACCCAATGTGGGATATAGTTCATATTTGTTTTAATAATATCAATACACAAACAATATTGCAGTATTAACACACCTGTTCAGGTGAGCATCATGTTTTTCAAAAGTGATAGAATATTTACGTTTAAAGCATGATGTTTTACGTGGGATATGGTTTATATTTTCATAATTGTTATTTCATATAGGCCTACAGTTAATGTCAATGCAAGCCATTTGAGCCTTTTTAAAATTTCGATATCTATATTTTTAGTCCGAATACTTTAACCATATATATATATATATATATACTGGATATACATTTTACTGAAATACATGTATTTACATTTAAACAATTTGGCACTAGTGTCGGACATCATTATTACTTTGCAAAATGTCATTTGAGTCACTGAAATATTGTCAGTGCAACAAATATTAATACGCACGTTTTTATGTACATTATTTAATAATATGTGTATTAGTCAGGAGATATAGACTTACTTTTCAAATGCAAGGGTGTATGGCGTTTGTGACTAAAATTAGTTTTCTGTGTGTTAAATGAGTGGTTTGGGTTTATTAAGTGTTTGGATTGTAATCGCACTAAATAAGATTTCAAAGTATTTTTTATTATGTGTAGCTTTGCATAATAGTGAAACATTTTTAAAATTCTGCATCTTTTAAAATTGCCAATAAATGTTTGAAAATATTTTCTTTTATATTGACACATGTAAAGAGAATAAATGTCATATGTACTATTTTGAATTTTGAAGTTATTAGACAAGTATAAACATCTTTCTATTTGTAGATGTCTACCATTTTAGGTGTTTCAGAAACTAAAGGCAGCAAGAGTTAGACAATTGCTCATTTAACGCTCAAATCCTATTTGGTGCAAATAATATTCTTGCTCTTATTTGGGACCGAAATAAATCAGTACTTTCTTCATAGAAAATCTATATTTGTATTTTTCAAAGCAATTATAAAATTAAATTGCCGCATTTAAATGCTAAACAGTCAATAATGAGTGATAAAAAATAAAAACAAATGATCAGTTTAAAGCATTATTATTATTATTATTTTGCAAGAAATCGGGTGATTAATAAAAGTATTGATAAAATTCTGTTTCAAATCCTCATACAAAAGTTAACATCGATATCTTGTAGTCAGTGACGACACGGGTACCAGGCTGACGACAGCATTGATGAAAAGAAACTCCATTTGTTCAAAACCTTTGTAGAATACAACCGACTGCAATTGTAGTTTCTACGTTTTTCCATTGCTTTTATTTCCAACTAATGCGAAACTCTCAGGTGTCTATTGGCATTACCTTGCGTACAACACGCGTCGCAACAAATGCATTTAACCAACAACAAAACGCGAATATTTTCAGTCCATTGTCACTTGACACAACATCATAAGACTTTACTAGTAGATACAAAAAGCCGAGACGTGAAACGAACATCAGTTCATTTTTACGGTATTTTTCGTGTTATATTTTGCTTTGAGTGAGATAATTATCAGTAGTGGGAATCACATTGAGAGAGCAATGTTAGACTAAATTATAAGATGGTCCAGAAGGATTTGAATAGTTTCATTTTCAGCTCATTCAAACGTTGATTGAGATATGCTACCCATTAGTGAAGTTAGTAATATTGAAGTTTTTTGACAATCTTTAATCACAAGAATGTGGGTGTCTGGACCAAAAATGTTTTACATCAACGGATATGAATTATATTAAAACGCAACAATTTAAGTGGTAACACCTTACACGGCTTTTATATTATGTGTAAATAAAAACTGTTTATCAAGTGTACTAGTAGATAATGCTCGGCGGCCTGTCACGTAAATTTGGAGGATGCACTGAAGTTCTGCTCATTCTAAATTTTTACAACTACTTCTCATTTTAAAAACTTTAGTTAATTTATTCAATCATAGAGTACATAAAGGGATTGTGTTTAATTGGATGATAAATCAATGATTGTTTCTCTTTCAGAGGTGTACTGCATCATAAAATTCCACGTAGATATCACAGCCCTCACACAGCATGTTATAAAGGTAAATGACCAAATAAAAATAACCCATGTCAAACAAAAAAATGTCTGATCATGAGCATAAATTTAATCTACTCTGTGTACTTACCGATCAAGTAAGAGATATTGATTCGTTATTGTTTCACCGTTTATAAATTAATTAAACCCCTTTTTAGAAATAATTTGCCCTTTTTCCTTTATTTCAGATCGCTAATGGCACTAACAAGTTTCGCAGAGATATAGCAGGAATTACAATGATAAACACACAATATGAGTAACTAATATAGATGATGTTCTGATAGTGATACCAGTTCACTAACCCCGGACAAAGTATTTCATATGTGGGGTTAAGAACAATGAACAATGATCTAAAGGGAAGGCACAACTATACTACGAGACACAAAATATTCTGGTAAAGAAGTATTAAAATCTTTATCCAAAGGAATGCTGTTCGATATTATGTTCAATTTACTCTGCAAACATAAGAAAACCTGGCTAACATTTTTTCTGAGGACTATTGAAAAATGATGCTAAGACTCTTGTCAGAATCCGTCGGAGGTCTTTCATGGGAAGGCGTCTGTTGTGAATGAGAGAATGTTTCCTTAAAAAGACGGTTACAGTAAATGTAAGGACTTCTACCAGAGATGGCTTTATGGGATCGGATGACTAAACATACATACACTATAGTTGTATATTCAATGGTTGTATATTCGCTGCTGCGAAATAAAACTGCAGAAGAACGGTGATAGACAATATTTCGACGCAGTACTCTATTCTTTGCAACTTTGCATTGGAGCACGTCAAGCGTAAAAAAACTCTTTGAAAGCAAAATAAATATTTTAGGCATCTTCCTGAAAAGCGAATATGGAACTAGATCACTCTACGGACGAATGGGATAGCTCTCCAATTCCTCCGACTTCTAAAAATGACAAAAAAAGTCAATGTCGTGTTGTTGTGTATTGCTTTGATTTATACTGATAGGACTAAGCGTTGCAGCTATAATATGGGGGTTTATTCACGACAGCGTACCCTGGGTGGTTGCAGGTGCCGTGTTAATAGTGGTCATATTGGGTGTCTATGCAATGCTGCTTTGTAGGACGTGATATGTGACATGATTATCAAGTATACCGATAGGGATGCCTTAAAGCCTTTACATAACGCTAACAAAATTCCAAGTTACTTTAAAATACATGAGCGTTATTTTAGTTTATACTTGTAGAGTATGGAAAACGGCAACAAGGGAAAGTGAATTAAATGCAACAAGTGAAATAAAAAAAGAAAAAAAAAGACAAGCTACTTGCTACATGTAATATCTGAGGCCTAACAAGGTAGACAAAATACAAACTAAATACAATTGCAGTTCCTAAGTTTTTCCACTTATTTCCAACTATTGCGAACTCTCTGGCGTCTAGAATCAGTTGAGATGACCTTGCATATAACACGTTTCGCAACAAAAGCATTCCAACAACAACAAAACAGAATGCGTGAATATTTCCACTCCATTGTCACCTGACGCAGTATCACGTGACTTTACAAGCAGGTACTACAACCCTAGCTGATGTTCATTAACGGTATTTTGCATGTTATTAATTCCATGTATATAGTGTTTCGAGTGAGATAAGTATCAGTAGCGATCTGTGTGTGTGTCGTGATGGTAGACATTAAGCCTAAATTGTTAGATAGTCTACCAGTAGAAGGACATATGTAGTTTCATCTTCAGTTTATTGATACGCTGATAGAGCTTTGGTTCCTGTTAGTGAAGTTAGTAATATTGATGCAGTGTACTATTTGAAGATCTTTAATTCCAAGTTACGTGATATCAGAAATCGACTCAAAATGGCTGTTTGGACCAAAAATGTTTTACATCAACGGATTTGAAATATATTAAAACACGACAATTTAAGGGGCGACATCTTACACGGCCTGTTAATTATGGGTAAATATGTACAGGCCCGTAGCCAGGGGGGGTTCGGGGGGTTCGAAAGAACCACCCCTTTTGCTGGGAAAAAGGTCCACTCTGGGTAAAATTTGATCTAGGTACATGAAGTTTTTATGGTAAAAGGTCCACTTTTTCAGAAAAAGAACCCCCCTTTTGAAATTGCTGGCTACGGGCCTGATGTAACATGAACTGTTTATCAAGCGTACTAGTAGATAATGTTCGGCCGCCTGGCGGATGCACTGAAATTCTGCTCATTCAAACCCTGAATTCGTACAATTAATTCTCATTTTAACAACTTTAGTAAATTTATTCAATTAGAGAGTATATAATGAAAATCAGTCTGTTTTTCTGGTTATCTAGCTGACGAATCAATGATTGTTTCTCTTCCAGATTAGGTATCCTGCATCATAAAATTCCACGTAGATATGACAGCTCTCACACAGCATGTTATAAAGGTAAATGACCAAATAAATGTTACCCATGTAATACAAAAATGTGTCTGATCATGAGCATAAATTTGAATTACTGTGTCTACTTACCGATCAAGTAGGAGATATTGATTTATTTTTGTTTCACTGTTTATAAATTAATTTTCCCTTTTCTTAGAAATTATTTGATTATTTGTTTTCTTTTTCAGATCGCTTAGGGTCTTAACAAGTTTCTCAGAGATATAGCAAGGATTAAAATGATTAACGCACTATATAACTAAACTAATATAGTTGATTCTCTGATACCAGCACACTAGTCCCAGAGAAAGTATTTCATATGTAGAGATAAACGACAAACAAAGCCCAGCTGGGTATTTTACAAGAAAAAAATATTCTGGTAAAGAAGGAAAAAAATCCTTACGAAAAGGATGCTGTTCGATATTAAGTACATTTTACTGTGCTGCAAACATAAGAAAACTTGGTAAACATTAGTTAACATTATTTCTTGGGATTTTTGAAAAATGTGGCTAAGACTTTCGTCGGAATCCGTCGGAGGTACGTCTTTCATGGGAAGGCGTCTGTTGTGAATGAGAGAATGTTTCCTTAAAAAGACGGTTACAGTAAATGTAAGGACTTCTACCAGAGATCGCTTTATGGGATCGGGTGACTAAGCATACATGTACTATAGTTGTACATCCAATGCTGCGAAATAAAACTGCAGTAGGACGGTGGTAGACAATCTTTCTCCACAGTTCATGTACTCTATTCTTTGCAACGTTGCATTGGAGCACGTCGAGCTTAAATTAAACCCTTTGTAAACAAAATATTTTAGATATCTTCCTGAAAGTCAAACATGGAACTAGATCACTGTGCGGAGGAATCGGATAGCTCTCCTTTGGTGACGACTTCTACAAGTGACAAAAAGTTAGGGTCGTGTTGTTGTGTATTGCTTGGTTTCATACTGATAGGACTAAGCATTGCAGCTATAGTATGGGGGTTTATTCACGGGAGCGTTCCTTGGATGGTTGCAGGTGCCGTGTTAATAGTGGTCATAGTGTGTGTCTATGGAACGCTGCTTTGGAGGTCGTGATACATGTACATGTGACATGATTATCGAGCATACCGTTTAAATATTTACTTAACGCAAACAAAGTTATTTTTAGATACACGGGTGTTATTAAGTTCATGTCTGGAAAGAATGGACAACAACAAACAGGGTCACGTAAACCCCTTCCCCTCTCTCACAAAACCAGCTGAATGGAGAGATAGCATATCTCTATTTTTTAAAAAAATTGTTTAAGATTCCTGTTTGCTTTCCTTCGGTATTTAATTTTAGCAGTGCTCTTTTGCCAATTTTAATGGTGATATGGAGAAGAGCTAAAATGAAGACAGCTACCGGTGTGATGTGCTGAAGAATGACACAATATTGCTCTTATTATCGATGCTTATTGTCAAACAAAGAATTATCAAATAAATTCACTGCTTTGAGAGAGAGAGAGAGAGAGAGAGAGAGAGAGAGAATGAAATACTGGTGGTATAAAGTGATCCATGTTTGAATAAAGATGAAATAAAAATGAGCAAATAAAAAATATTGTGAAATTATGTCTTTTTATGCTGGAAAATCTAAACAGCAACTTAAAGATGCAATTATTGTCAAGTTTAATCAAATGCTTTTGCATCATTCTATTTATTAACATTACAATATATTTTGTTCCTAGCTTATACACCCTTTATAAAAAACATTAAACATTGCAAATAATTTCAATTGCAGTTACCACTAACAGGCCCGTAGACAGGGGGGTTCGAAAGAACCCCTCTTTTTGCAGGGAAAAGGTCCCCTCCGGGTGAAAGTTAATTAAGGTACATGAAAGTTTCATGGTAAAAGGTCCACTTTTTCAGAAAAAGAACCCCCTTTTGAAATTTATGGCTACGGGCCTGCCTAAAATCAACATATTTCACAGAGAATAGGTATGAACCCAATAGTACATGTATTAAAATAATGAAGATAAATATTTTGATTGAAATTATTTTTGATTCATAGCATAAATAACATAACAAATGTCATGATATATATAACTTATTTCAACTGCATAGAATAATTTATTGCTGATGAATACTGTACAGCATTTGAATATATACGGGTACTGGCACATGTACATGTAAATACAGCACTTCGAATCCTTATTCAAAGCTTGTACATGTACAAACTACGTTATTGTTTTGATCAAAATTGGGATTACAACTTACTATAAATGAAATTTCACGAAAGTACACCGCGGGAAGAGTCTGGCGTGTTCGTCAAGCGCGCGGTCACCATCCGCAGGAGTGCTATTAGCGGCACTGTGAAAAAGTTTTTAGAATGATTAATTTAGTGGTAAATTCTTGCAATTTTACCTCTTACACATAACTTATTAAAATCAGAAACTTTGCATAGCTATGAGCAAAATTGTTTTTTATATATTTTGCAGCATTTTAATGAGGTGCAATGAAACATTTAATGACTGATGACGTTCGTGCAGAGAGTTTTATATATTTACTATTCCTTGAATTACAGACTCGTTTCCAAAATTAAAAATAATAATCCATTTTAAAACTGTAATGGTAATATATGTTTGAGATTTTTTTGTTTATGAGGAAGGTGGGTGAAATGTGTCAACGTGTTGATCTGCATGTAAGTAAAAAGTCTTCGTGATGCCTCTTTATTGTCCCCATATCTATTTAGAGATTGAAATACATAGTTTACGTGACGACTTAATACTCAGTGTGTGCGCGTGCGTCTGTGCTACACTTGCATAATGTTATATTCTGAGTACACTACGGTTATTTTAAAAAGTAGTTATTCTGTATATCATGATATCACGAACATACATTTTATTATAGTATGGTGTATTCGCAGTCTCAACAACAACAATACTCCCTCTATAAGCCATTGCCGGTGCAAATTCGACGTATTAGTTTAAAGATACAAGGGGAATCCCCTTTCGCTCCCGCGTGATGTTTCTAAGTTTAGTTAAGGGGCTTGGATAGTCTGGTGCGGATTATGACTTGAAAATAAAATCAATATATTGCAGCGCCATACGACAGACGTCATTAAAATTTGACTCTCTGACGGCTTTAAGTATTCCTGACACAAATTCACCAAAACATCGACTGATAATATTCGCCCAAGAGCAAAACAACAGAGAGATATTTTCTCATTGTGTAAAGTTTGCTGATAAAAATACGGTTAATTGTATAAATACCTACGGTATAAACTGTAACTGTGAATGTGTTCGTGCGTGCGTGTACTTTTTTATACAATAACAATAACGTTAAAAATCGTATGCGCACATACACACTTATGGTCTCCATAGATGAAAATATTCAATTACGTGCACTTTAGTGGACACCAATCAATATGATTAGATCTAAACGATTGATTGTAAGTACAATCATTGCTTTACTAAAATGATTATCAATAAAGCCTTCCATGTGAAGTCAGTGTAATGTTCTTCACAGACCCAGAACTACCTGTTCGATAATTGACATATTTATCCCTTTCTGCAGTGCATTATGTTCTTTCTCAAACAAAATATGCAACTTCAGCATCTAAATTTGGAAATCTATTCTAAACCTACGTATTAACCTATTTATCGTTTTTGTACATTCAGGGCATTTTTGTTGTTGCTTTGTTTACGTAGTTGCTTTGGTGAAGTCGCCATTCAATACGTGCACAATGGTAGAGAGAAAATACAATGTGAGCTGTGTTAGCTGGCGCTTGTAGGTAAATACATGTATAATCAGCCTAATGCAGCACTTGATGTTAAAAGAAACCTGCATTCATATACACAACCCATCTTCCCATTTCTCTCAAAAGCAGCTAAATGGGCACTTAGACTAGTGGATAAGATTTCTTTCATAATTGAGCAATATTGCATGGTCTTTTTAAAATTACAACGTCAATTTTGCAATTAAAAATAATGAAATTTACTACAGACGATGGTACATAGACCTGGGCCAGCTATATACATGACGGTGTATATTTTTTTCATTTTTTACAATGTAGACCACAGATAGAACCCCCTAACCCTCTTAATAAAGAGTTCAACTTATCCAAAATATTCGTGCAAAAAAAAGTCGATGGAGATGTCTCTAATGTTAATTCTTCTTGGGTTGTGGCATTTAGGGTAAACCTTGCTTGATCATCAAAAATTGGAGAAACAAGAGAGGTGTGACTTGAATCTAAGGCACGTATCTGGTTATAATTGAAATCTGGTGTGTCGCTTTCAGGACCACCTCCGGTGTCCGTAAAACTGAATGTGTTGCCAGAATTTTCACTAGACGCGGTACATGGGGCGTCAATTTTGAAATCGCCAACATTGCGGGTGTTACTAGGGAAATTTAGAGAACCGTTACGTATTACCTCATTAACACTGGGGTCACGCTGCGGGGTGTGAAAATAGCCAACATTTGAGTTAACTGAGTCTCTTTCAGGGCCAACAAAAACGCAAGATTTAAGATTGAAATGGCATCTTTTTGCATATACTTCTTTATCACTTCGGTCAATATTGGAATGGCTATCTAACTTCGAAAAATGTTTCACAAAAGCACAATTAGGGAAGTGTCTCGCGTGTTCGTCAAAGGCGCGGTCACCTCTCTCCCAGTTTCTGATCATTCCGTCACAGAAGGCACACTTCACCATGTCGTCAACATCCACGTAGAAGAAGCCGGCTCTAGCGAGATCTGCCGGTCTAACAGGGCACGTGGTGGGAAAACTGGAATTAAAGGAATAGAGGGTTTAAAATCGCAAAATTGAAAATCAACAAAGCGTTAAAACAACCCTAAAATAATTATTTGCTTTACATCTACCCGCATTTGCTATGAATTATCAATACATATTTAACCAGGTATACCAAAATATATTAAAATTTTGAAATAATTGCATAAGTTTTTTTTTCTCAGCTATAGGCAAGTGGTTAACGGAGTTTATAAATTAGAATTATATCAACAGTATGAAATACAGGTGGAGACTGACTCGATGGCGAAAATTTTCCGGGAAGTCAGCTTTATTTTCAATAAATGCTGATGGATTTTGTGGCAAAGCGAAACATAATTCCTCACCTTTGAAAAGTCGCCAGTCTTGTAAGTTCGTCTCGCATAGAATCAGCAGGAGAGCTGTTTTGATAGTTAAGATGACTCTGGAGAGGAACTGGACTTGGAGACTGTCTACTTATTGGCGTAGTATTGATACATGTAGCAGCCGCGGTGGCGTTGTCTGGCTCATCCAGTTGAGATCGGGATTGTGTTGTGGACAGCGATAGAGAAGACAATGGCCGCCTGCTGCCTGGTGGATCTGCTACTGCGCGTATCTGCTGCGTGGATGGAGTCGTTTTGTCATCGGTCGGTGCAATAATCGGAACGTTGTTTTCATCTTGTCCAAGTATATGTAAACAATGAGGAGAAAGCGCTGAGTGTTTCTTAAAAGGATTGTCTCCGAATTCCCAGACTTTTATCACTACATTACAGCTATAACAGCGCACTTCTTCCCCTCTTCCCATATAATAGAACCCTGCTCTCGCGAGGCGTGTAGGGTGAGCACTAGATGCAACAGACGGCCAGGTCTTAAAGGACAGCAAACGGCCGATCTCAAACTTGTACTCATTGTGGTCTCCTCTTTTACTTAGCGTGGAGGCTGTGTAGGCCGTGAGACCAAGGGAAGGACTTGATGTCATCTCCGACATTGGAATTCTAAAAGAAAATTACGAAATGCGTTTCATCCTTCATAATTCCGAATAATATCCACGTATGAATAAATAATCACACAGTCTTTTGCGGTATTAGGTATCCTGCATTTCAAAGAATACAACATAGGCCACAACCCTATCTAAACTCCTATAAAACACAATATATATCCAAAAACCAATTACAACCTCCAAATCTAAATTTAACGATGACAATGCAGCATGACGGCTGAGAAAAGATATGAGCAAAACAATGAACTTACATGTACAATTTGTTGTCCTGTTTTGCACAACTAACTTTTTCTAACTTCATTATTCTGTGATGTAGCTGTGTTAATTTACTACTCACTCTCAGTGGCACTACCTATGACTGTGGGCGGGTTGCAATGGGGTGTAAGGCTGTCTGTTCTTTACAGTAAGTGTGAATGTGTGCGTGCGTGCGGGTATTTTTTTTTACAATAACAACAACGAAAAAAAAAACATGCATGCATTCACCCTTATGGTCTATGTAAGTGAAAATATGCAATGAACCGAATTCTTTTATCAGAAAGCAATCAAATGAAGTTGATGTATGATATTTTCGATTAAACAGTTGTGAGTACAACGATTGCTATACTACAATGGTTATCAATATAACATTCCATGTAGGTTCAGCTTCTTCACAAAATCAAAAGTACATGTGCCTGTTCGATAACTGACAGTGTGACATGTTATTTTTTTGAGCAGCATATGGATATTCGGTATCCAAGGCCAGTATGGGAAATTTCTGGTAGTTGAGAAAGGGGAATCCCCTCCCATTTAAAACCTACACGTTAATCTATCGATCGGTTTTGCACTTTGAGGGGATTTTTTTGTTTACGAAGTTGCTTTGGTGAAGTCGTCATTCAATACGAGAGCATCCAATGCTTTTGGCAATTTGCCTCCATTTCCTTTGAATAAACATTGTTTAAAAAATTCAATGCGTGCACAAAGATGTTGTAAGCCCAGAGAACACATACATACATACAATGTAAGCTGTGTTCGTTAGCGCTTGTAGGTAAATATAATCAGCCTACATTTGTGCAGTCATTGATGTATAAAAAAACCTGCATTCATTTGGTATAAGTAATAAAAAACGACGAAGGTGACACTAGTTTGTCTCAGACTAGCATGTTTTGTCACTGTAAATCACACAAACACGTAATCTGAAGATTGATTAGCAGCGCATGGAGAAGTCTTTACAAAATTTTTCACGAATAAAGAAAAGTAAAAATGTATGACATACCATCAGCGTATATATGCACTAAACCAGGACAGACTGAATCCTGTCAGAAGTTGAAAGTTTATATGCTCCGCATCGATCGCCTTTCAATGTAACATAACTACTATTATGGATTGGTTAACGTGGCTTGAATAAATAAGTACGAGTTCTGGCTGGCGTTAAGTGTAAACTGTCAATCGTTTAACCATGGCGTCACGATGAGCTTTAATGGTAATAAAGGACATCAAAAAGGTTGTTGGGTAGTTTGGGCAGATGATGTACCCACTTTCAATCCGCAGTTTAAGAAACGCAGAGTTTGATGCGATTTCTTATATGATTTAGAAAATACTAAAGTGAAGAAATTCACAAACTCTAGACAAAACAAAAGTACGTGTAGTATGATTTTTACTAGTCTGTAAAAGTTATTGTGCTATGCACTAGATAACTGGGTAAATATATTTATCTTTCAATCCGTCGTCTTCTCCTTTCTTTATCGGGAAGGGTCGGTAATAATAGCCTTGGTCGTCATTGGTTGTTTTGAATTTGACATCGCGCCAGTCGTTAAGGGCCTAGCAAGGTTAGATTCAGGCAGCTAAATTACAGGTAAGTTTGTTGTTAAAGAGAGTCATTTTATTGTTCAAACTGCGTTAGTGAAAACATAAAAGGTCAGAGACTCATGTAGTACATACATGATTATCATAACTTATTTTAAAATGTTGAAAATATGCACTTGGGTCCACGCCAGACGGACTGATCGATAACTAAGCTTTGCTAGTGATAAGTAAAACTGTCACTCGTTTACCGATCGCATCACGATGAACAGTTAAAGAGATTTATTTTCGTGACAATAATATGAACATATATGTATCGGCCCAGCTCTATGGGCTTACGAAGGCGTCTTAATGGGGTGTTAGGTTGTTCTGACATTTAGGGATGACTTAATGGTAAAAACTGCGATAAAGGGCTCCTTAAAAGACCAAAATCCATGAAGTGTCTCCGGGAATATAATGAATAATTTTGAAATGTTGAAAATATACACTTGGATCAAAGCCATGAAGGAATACTACCCGTTGACAGAGCTTTGCTGGTGTTCTGTGTAACTTTCAAGCATTTAACGATCACGTCAAGATGCATAATTATAATTGTAATAAAGGGCATCAAAAAGGGATAGTTCTGATAGATATACTGTTTTCAGCAGTTTGAGAAATACAATGATGCGCTTTTTTATATTATTTAGAAAATGGCGAAATAAATAAAGTCACAAAACCTCAACACAACAAAGTTGTGCATGAAAAATCCCTATAAAGGGTCGATTTGACATCACAGACATTTTATCAATAGCATTTTACCTCTCCAACATACATGTACCTTGGACTTTCCTCCCCTCATGTATTCCTATCTCTTATGTTGGCACACACCAATGAAGCGTTCTGGATTTCATGTATGCCAGCGCTAAGCTATTAAGAGGTGTGATTACAAATGATAATCTGCCATGTTATTATATTTAACAGGTCACCTAACAAACGGCACAAAAAGCAGGTCTCTTTACAAGAGTACCGGATGTGACAAACAGTGAGTATTCAAAACAACATTTTATATGACTGACAGCTGCTATTGAATTGCACTGCTTGTAGATCTAGCTAAAGAAAAAGACATTCTAAAGGCATGTGTTAAATAAATAAATAAATAAATAAATGAATAAATAAATAAATAAATAAATTGCTGTTACTTAATGTGCCTGTGCCTGACACAGTGGCGTGCAAATATACATGTGTGTGTGTGTGTGTGTAACTCGTCAAATTCAGATGGATCGGATGCTTCAGCATTTAAGGTACACTGTCCTCAGGGCATCAGAGGGGGTGTTATTGAACGCAAGCATCTAGTTTGTGACGGTTTGTACAACGAAGGTTTGTACAACGTTTTCAACGCCTATTTTGTACACATATGGCTTATCTTTGTCAAATACACATATCGACCGCGGGTCATGATCCTATTCAATAATCAATGGCTTACTTAAGTATTTCCAAGAAGAATTTTTTTGGCATGACGCATCAAATGGAATGAGGTCACCTGCAGAAAAAAAATAAAATTAAAAAATAAATAAATAAATAAATAACAATATAGAATAATAAATAAATAAATAAATAAATAAATAAATAAATAAATGAAATGGTAATGAAATATTTAAAAATGAATATATAAAATGATGATAAAATATATAAAAAAGTGGAAGTGCCTACTTGGGATTTAGTAGGTGTTAAGACCTCGTACATGTTGAGCAATTGGAAAATAAGAAACAGAAATTAAATAAGACATTTTTATCCTTAGGAACATGTTGATGTATACACTCTAAAATGTTGAGAAAATAAATGTGCAGTAGACGCACCTGCCTAAAAGTAGGCGTTTATGACATCACTCTTTACAAAATTCTCTCTCTTCTTTTTAGAATGGCACTGAGCAAAGGAAGGTCACCATTAGGTTTGAAAGATTATGAAGACGATGTACAAGGAAACGGTCACCGTCCGCTGAGTCCGGCACAGCGTCACAGGTATGAGCACCAACGATTATTAACCTTTGCCAATTGGCCTGATTGGGCACCTGCTTCTGCTGCTAGGCTGGCCAAGTACGGATTTTTCTACACAGGACGGGAGGATGAGGTGGAATGTTTCGCTTGTCATCGCAACGTTCGAGGTTGGAAATTGGGCGACAACCCCGAACACAAGCACCGCCAAGTATCACCAAACTGTCGCTACATAAATGGTGTTAATAAGGAGAATATTCCGATATATGTTGCCGTATCTTCTCCCGAAGAAAATGCAGGGCTTCAAAGAACCATCTACACTTCTCTTGGACTTCAGCCCCTTGGTAATCAGCTGTCACAAGGTGCCCAACACGCTGAGGGCTCTTTAGGAGCAGTGCTTACGGTACCAAATGGGAATTCAGTGGGCGGTGAAACGCCCTGTGGGACTGCCAGTGCAGTAAGAAACAGTATGAATGAAAGGGCAGTATTACATAACGAGGGCACCAGAAAGACGCCTCGGTCTGCCGTTAATTCAAACGCTCAAGGCGGCGTTGACACTACTGACAATCTAGCCGCCAGGTCACCGCCGAATGAAACGAACCAAAACCTTTCCCAAAACTCTAACACTACTACTCCGACACTTACAAGTGTCCGCGAAAGTGAGGATTTTATGTTGATTATGAGGGAGAATGAGTTAACTCGTATGCAGACCTATGCTAATTTCCCAGACAGTTGTCCTGTCAGACCCAATGAACTCGCAAAGGCGGGGTTCTTTTATTTAGGGACTTCAGATATTGTAAAATGTGCTTATTGCGGCGGTAAAATCAGATCTTGGGGCAGGGGCGATAACGCATTTGGAGAACATTTGAAACATTTTCCGTTGTGTTCGTTTGTACAACAGAGACAAAACCGAGAGCAGAGTTCGAGCCAGCAGAACAATTTATTGTTTGACGATAACCCAATAGTGACTGAACGACCAAAACATCCCCAGTATGCAATTGAACAGAACAGGATTTTGACTTTTGAAAACTGGCCCATCAGTAAGCGGCAAACGCCAAGAGAACTTTCCATAGCTGGGTTCTATTACGCCGGCTTTGGGGACAATGTGAAATGCTTTTTCTGTGGCGGGGGACTGAGAAACTGGGAGCCACAGGATGACGTATGGACTGAGCATGCGCGTTGGTTCCCAAATTGTGGGTATGTGAAACAATGTAAAGGAGTGTCTTTCATCAGAGAAATACTGCAACGCAATTCCGCCAATGGGCAATTTTCCAGCCAAGCAGGTCGGTCCCCACATACCCATCAGATAGAGGCAAGAGAAATAAAAGCTCGGTTAGATGCACCATCTGCCCAGAAAGTAATAGCAATGGGTTATTCCCGAGATTTAGTAAGAAGGACTATAGAAAATAGACTTACAACTGTTGGTGACGATTTCCCTAATTTACAGTCTTTAATAGAAGCTCTTCTTAGAATTGAAGAGGAACAAGAACTGGGGGATAGTAATGGGGATACCAATTTGACAAATGCTCCTCTAAATGTTACAGTAGTCAGGGGTCAATCAGACCAATCACCTCCAAATGACACAGCACCCTCCGCAAATACAAATAATCCCCCTGAACCCACTGACCCCGCTATCTTATCAGACAAACTAAGGGAAGAAAATAAACTTTTAAAAGAACAGAGAAAATGTAAAATATGTAAGGTGAGGGACGCTGAGGTTGTTCTCTTGCCGTGTGCTCATCTTGTGTGTTGCAATCCATGCGCTCCCTCTCTCCGAAAATGCCCGGTTTGTGAATCCAAGATCAGGGGCACAGTAAAAACATATCTCTGCTAGCTTGGCTCCCCTGACGAGTCCGCATGGACGAAACACAAAAGTTGAGCAGACGGCGGGAAAACTGCCGACAGTTCTATTTTGTGTCGGGAGTATCACCACAGAGCTGGACGATAAAGTTAGATAAACATATTTTCCCAATTTCAACTGTTTTCTTTGTTCAAATAGCTGCATTTTTCAAGGAAATGGTAAAATTAGATGACCAAATTCGATATCTTGTATCATTTCTTAGATGCGTTTTATAAATGCTGATTGTATGAAGGTTTAGGAAATTAACTTAATGTAAATTCAAAAGCTGGCCAGTGCGCATGAATGGTGTAAGAAATAATTTAATTAATAATATATAATACAAAATGTTGATGTCCATGAATAAAATAAAAACATTCAACACTTATTCTATAAGTTCTTCATTTAAAGCTTTAATCAACTCTGTACCAGTAAATTATTTCGACTACTGCTCCAGCGAAATATATGAAAAAAAAAGGTTTGTCTGTGATAATATTTATAATACATTAAAGTTTCCCCGCGCAGGTTATTGGAGAATTTCGAAAGCATGCATGGTATCACAACTTACTTGTGAAAAGTCAATGAAATTTCGTCTTGCAAACAAGGAGTTCGAGATGTAACGCATCAAGATGAGATGTAAAACATCATTGTCGTCTTGGTGGTCGCGATGTTTTGGACGTAGTTCTGACCTTGGAGCTTGTGTACTCACTGGTGTCGTGTTAGCGGCCGCAGTGGCATTGTCTGGCTCAGCCAGACCTGTGCTGGGTTGAAATTCTGTTGTAAATTGCGTTAAAGAAGACAACGGCCATTCTGTTGTCTATAGTGCAGCAGTTACCTACTTTGCTGCATAAATGAAATAGTTATGTCCTTTAGATGTAACAGTGATTGGGATTTTGTTTTCGTCTTATCCATATGTATCGTATACGAATTAATGAGAAGGTGGATTTGAACGATTATGTCTGGAGGTCGTGATGATAAAAATGCTTTCACTCTTTTATTTTTCAGCGTATCTTATTGTGGCCACATGCAGGGTTATATAGCATGTCCTCTTTAATATATGTCTAAATTAGCTTGACGTTAACAGAAAACGAAAAGGCAATATAGCAAATCTGTTTCAATTCGGGACTGTAACTGATAATCAGTGGCATTGAAACAGAATATTCGCAGGGCCGTAGCCTGAGCAAAATGCCAGGGGGGGCAGTAAGCGGACACGAGGGGGCGAAGCTACCGAGGGTGGAGGGTGTGGTGTGTAAACTTCCAAATTCCAGGGGGGGGGGCAGCTGCCCCCCCTGCCCCCCCTGCCCCCCCGGAGGCTACGGCCCTGATTCGTCACCATCCAGGGTTTATGTGCACAACACTCTATGCATACACCAATTACCTTACTTTCTAAAAGCATGTTGAGGCATTAAGAAATAAGCTCAGTGACTCCTCTACCGCTACTGCCATAAAGAAACTTGTTAGATCTTAATTGGCTTATTTCAATTATCATCTCTATCGGTGTTCCTCAATAAAAGGTCAAACATATATGTAAATATATCTGCACGTGTCCTTGCCCGCACACCTGTTGACAGTCACGTCACACTTTTTAAGATTAAAATCCCCTACAACTTTCCTGTTTATACATAATAATAAACCTATGGATTCAAGTCAAAATTTAAGTTTATGGCCACGCTGTTTTTTTTTTCATATTGACGTGAACTCGACTCCCCTACCCCTTTCCGCTAGTCACGCTTCTCTGAACAAACTGTTTCTAACAGCATGCAAATTCAGGCTTGAAATAGATTACTCTTTACTTTATTATGAAGTGCATCTTCCCGGGAGTGTGCCCTCAACGTGCCGACAGTGATGTGTACCAGCAACTCCCTCTTATCCTGCTTTTATCGAACTCTGCAGCCATAAGATATATGTCTTGGCTTTTTCTTTAGCCTTGATCAGACATCCATCTTAAAATTCGATGTTGCCGTCAAAAAAATATTTTTGTCCTCTTTTAATTGCACGTACACCACGCTGTTTCTGAACCTGCTGCCGCACTCTTTAAAACATCTTGCATTGCGTTCCACATCTTTATCGCAATAAACAAGCCAATAGCTCCTTTCACTTTAAAACTCCTCTTTTGTTCCGCCTCATAGGTGGTGTGTTTTTCTGTGGTCTTTCACTTTTGAGCTGTTATTTCGGGTATACAACCCTATTTCTACTGTAAAAACGACGGTAGAGCGGTATCATATGGGTTACATATAAAATCATGATCGAGCCGGCAATACCGAATTCTAGAACCTATAGGGTGTTAACGTAGGATGAAATCTCCATTTTGCGCATTTTTCCTAAATATTAGTTGGTTTAATTATTGATAAGTCATTTTACTGAACCATGTCAGCTGTACCCCATCAAATAAATGAACAAGTAAATAGAATGAATAAGTTATGTAAAGAAACGACGGTAAACTATTTCAGAATTTTTTTAAAGTCCTTTTATAAACGTAGGCTCAGCATGAACAATATTGGAGCACGGTTCTGTATTATGCACGTTGTCATTAAGACGGAAATTCCTTGCCGGGCGTATTGTGTTGTAATATAGACAATCAAGCTCAATGTAAGTACAGATGCGCAGCCAATTTGGAGCCCAAAGTAATAAGTTTTTCTATGGTCAAAATACCCCCCCCCACACCCCTCCACACCCGTCCCCTGCACTACCCCCACAAAATATATAAACAAACAAACAAACAAACAAACAAACAAAAGATAATTAATTAGTGAATCCACGAGTGCGTGTGTACATGCTGGAGGAAATCGACTTCTTAACTGTGCAGCTTCAAGGTCGAAAAATATGTCGAATTTAATACTTTTTACTTCCTTTAATATCTATCACCAAAAGTGGGAGGGGGTTAATCTTGATAAGTCCAGGGGTTAAAACAGCAACTGATAATGTTCACAAGGCGTCTCGCCTTATATTCAGTCTATTTATTTCCTCCTTTCCCCTATATAAGTCGCCGGCCATCAGCAGATACGACGTTAACTGTGAAAGCGAGAAACGACTCTTTGCAAAATGGCAAATTCATATATTTTGCTTCTTAATTTCTTAATCGTGCAAAGTATTTTTAGGCCCACACATGGGAACATTGGTAGGTATCTCTATATCAAACCTGATCAACAATTGTTGCATTTTGTAGTGGTTTTTTTTCGTGTAGGAAACGAGAATGCACTATGTTAGGTTAAATATGTCAGCTAGGAAAGAAACTGAATTGATTGAAAAGAACTCGGATTGCCGTTATTGGCTTCTTATCGACACATGAAAATCAACATCTTCATAATTGTACTGTGGGTTAAGACATAATTATACTGACATTATTGCTCTCTCTCTCTCTCTCTCTCTCTCTCTCTCTCAGTTTATAGTCTTTCAATTGTTTTTTAAGTTCCCCGATCTTGTGAAGAGGTGTTGCGGCACTTTGGTGGAGGAGCATTCAGCGCAGGTGTGTACACCATAGATCCGGACGGCCCAGGCGGACAGCCACCGTTTCAGGTCACGTGCACAACATCAAAAGACCTCCCAGGACATGGAATCACCTTGGTATCACACCAGAGCGCCTCACAGCCAAAATGGTTCCACCATTCAAGCACTTTTATTGTGCCTGTTGATTTTACTTACAAACCGACTATGGCCCAGCTCGAAAGCCTCATCAAGGTATCTAGGAATTGTCGCCAGTTTGTCAAGGTTTTGTGCTACCATTCACATCAATTTTACAAACCGCATTGGTGGTTTTCCAGACAAGGTTTGGCGATGTCAAACTGGGGTGGCGCCCCCACCAACAGTTTTATGTGTGCTTGTGGTGTACAGGGACACTGTGATGACCCGGGGTAGGTATAAACAGGATAATTCACTGATCCCTCGGCACAACAAAACTCAAAATAAACAATAAAGTACCTATTTTTATTCCTATATTTCGACTCTTAACTACAGCGTCAGGAGGATTTATTTGTATGAGGATTATTTTTAAATTTTCATCCTTTAAAATTTTATTATTTTTCAACAAGTCTGCGAATTCATCAATGTTCTTCTTATCACGAGGTTTTTGGATAGTTAAAATGTATGTGGTAATTTCATACAATCGTTTCTTTATTTAGAAAACCCTGCAACTGTTTACTCAATGACAAGGTTTGGAGAAGTGACGAGGGCTACTTAGAAGACAAACGCTATTTACCAGTAACACGTGTGTACGTGAGGGACACAGACAATAACTACCCCGAAGAGGCTTACTTAACTGTCAAAGGCCTGGAATGCTACGGGGGTAAGTTTGTGAACTGCAAAAATGATGGCAGGGCCGTGGGCTAAGGTTTGCAGTGGGCAGTTACGACTTGACATTAATCTCTATGAAGTGTTAGCCTTTTCCTATCTCCCAACTTACCGCATTAATACAACCTCGATGAGTACCACAGACAAGCACCTACTTTCATGTATAACTCAGGCTTTAAGCAGCTGATCAAAGCATTTTCCTAGCCTACAGTCCTGAATATATATCACTACAAATGCTCATTGATTAAGAAAAATACACGCCCCGTTGATTGGATATATTGTAGTCATCGCTACACAGCCGTAGATATTTGATATGTGCAAATATATTATTAACCGTATAACATATGGGAAATTAATAGTGAAAATAATGTTGATATGAACAAAAATATTGCATCATACTGGTGTATTCTTTCTATTTGTTCCTTTTTTTCAGAGATAAACAAAGGACACTCCACAGAAAGGTGCAGTATTGACGCTTATATGTCTATTATTTAGAGTTCAGAAAATTTAACTTATAAAGTATCGATACATTTAAATTTGAATACCTTATATAATGCATTAATTTACGTCAGACAGTAAGCGTTAGTCTAGCAATTTGTAATTTTTCTGGATATTCCAACACTGTCCCCAAATCACCAAGGTATAAGTATACATTTACCATTTCCAAATCCATTTTTTTTTTCAATTCTAATTTTAAAGCTTTTGCGTCATTCTCGTATTAGGGTTAGATACTTGGGCGAGACTAACACATCATTTCAACAAAGTAATTTGACTGATAATTTATGCAATTTTCCCCTCACAATCACGACCCGTTACCCTTACCCAAGACCGTCGATGAAATAACTCCCTTCAACCAATTTTCGAAAACTTATATGGTAACGAGTGAATTTCTATTCATCAGTTTCAAGTGCAAGAAGGAAACAAAATGTGAAACTTAGAACTCTCTAAAAAGTGATGGCGTGTCTGCCTATGTCTACTTATTTTATCATTCTCTGTTTTATTTATATATATTGATAGGTTATATATATTATAACTGAAAGTTTGAAGAAACGATACACCCATCACTCTAGCAATAGCCGTTTTATCCTATGCTTTATATCCCAGTCATAATGCCATTTGCATTTTGTATTACACATACTGTTTGCTATTAAACTAGTAGTATAGTAGAGAGTAACCTGTACACACTTTTGTGCTCAATAAAGAAAGAAAATTATTTTTACCGTTTAAGATGCCGGTGCAGCCTCCACGCCGAGGAGAATTCCACCACGCCGGGTCCTCTACTCCTGCAGCTACCAGATATTGTCTATGGTCAGGGTCAGGACGACGTGTGGCTAGAAGACGGCACCAAAACGACAAAGATCACAGATGTCTACCCCCAGTTCTTCAACACCAAGAAGCGCCGACAAATCCCCCCAGTCACCCAAGTAACCCCTGGCCTGTCCCCCCAGTGTGCTAGTGCGTTACAGCGTTGCCCAGTGGATTGTGAACGTTTAGCAAAGTTAAGATTTGCGAACACAAAGCTGACTGATGCCATTTTAATTAATACCACGTGGATGCCTTATGGACAAATCATGTGTAAGAATGCGGCTGTGAAGTTAGCCCCTCCTGGACGAAGAATCGTGGCGTTCTACAAGGTGGCTCCACCTTGCGGCTTTGCACAGAGCTCCACGTACGCGTTCCCCGACTCAACTGTCCTCTGCTGCGAAGTATTTACCATTGCTGGTCAGGTTCTGAAAATCTTTGATGCTCAGTGCTCTGGAATTAATCCTGGAAGTTTGGGCCCACTTTTGGGGTAATGAGGCATGTGTTGTTCCAGAACGCTCGTGCATGGTTTTTCTTCTTGTCAAATTTCTCGAGTGTAATAAGGGATTTGGATTGGGCCTTTTAGTCGAAGTTATCTTGTTTACTTATTTCTCAATGTGAAACAAGTATAATTGAAAAGATAGGTTATAAATTATATGATTCCAAAATAAGTATAATTATCATACTTCTGGATTATCATTACGACTCTCTACACCAGGCTTTCATTGCCAAATGGATCTGTATGTATTAAAATTGCAATTAAGGTAGATAGATATGTTAACTAGTATCTATTTCTTCAAATTCTCTCATTGTCAATATATTGGCCCATTTAACAATATTTTTGCTTTTTATTAAAAGTAAGTTAGAGGAAGAATTCTTTGTCCAAGTGGAACTTTACTAACATCAGTCTAGCAACTTTAATCATTAAAAATTAATAACTATATTTATGGGTTCTCACACAAAAACGTAAACAGACTTGATTTTAACCTTCGTTACTGTCGCTCGCAGGCCATCTCACTTTCTCCAATCAATCTAGTATATTTTTCCTAAAATAAAAAAAGCTGGAAATTGCCAGGGAGCGAGCATGGTGTGTAATGTCTCCAAAAATGTCTAGAATATTTATTTTAAATAGGTTAATAAATAGCTTGCGACTATGTTGGGCGGTCTCATAGGGTTTTTAAAAATTGAAAAAAAAAAAAAAAATTCGTTGCGTGTTTTGGCTCAGTTCATTAATTTTAGATGTTGAATGTTTTGTTATATTTTAGCCATTAATAAAAATCCTCAGTTCAGTTACATCCGTTATTAGCAAAAATAATAATAGTAGTAATAGTTTTACACAATAATTAAAAATACCCCACGTCATTTGAACAAATGTCGTGTGTTTAAAGAGACCTAGAATTCAACGGTCCGTTTATTGACTGAATTGTCGAACTTCGAAACAAAATAAAGGCTAGTGAAAAAAGGCGACCGATAGCATCATAATAATATATACACACACTGGACAATAGAAGTGTCACCCCCTAAATCAGAGTAATCAAAGTTATAATGCCTGGTCTACTTATAATGTGACTAATGAGAATAAAACCGATGTACCATGGGATTGTATCGTTGGTCTTTTTGTGGAATTTGATGTCAATAAAATGATACCAGGAGCATATCATCCCACAGTCATTTATCTCCCCCAAAGTATTGGTTCAGTAGGGGTGACACTGCTATTGTCTAGCGTATGTATATTGTTTTTTTTCGCCATAGAATGAAAATCACGCTGCACTACTTGTCTAGTAAAAATGATAATGAGCATTACTAAAATCTGATTCTGCAAAATTCAGTCTAATCAGCAACAATGAAGACCATTATACATGTACATGTACACTCCTCATAATAATAAAAAAAGTAATCTTGTCTTCATTTGAGCAGTCCTGATGATTTACAGGGTTGACTGAAGATTAATAAAAATGTGAAGATGTTAGCAATTTCATATACACATAAACTTCCATATTATGAAGCGTTACAATTGTCATGCACACTGACCACCAGCTTTTGAACTAATATTACGTTTTTTTTACATTTCTTACATTTACATATTTTACAAACACATTCCAGAAATGACAAACTAAATTACAAATTTTGAATTTGCTCCTATGTTATAAACCATATACTTGGAAAAAGTCAGCAGTTATAGTCAAAGAAAAACAGTTGAAATGAACACAAAAGGTTTAAGTAAACGTTATCTCAAAGGAACTCTGTTTTGCAGCTCTTTCGTGATACTCCCGACACACAAAATAATCTGCCGGCAGTTTTCCCGCCGTCTGCTCAACTTTTGTGTTTCGTCCATGTGGATTCGTCAGGGGAGCCAAGATAGCATAGATAGCTTATAACACAAACTGGGCATTTTCGGAGAGAGGGAGTGCATGGATTGCAACACACAAGATGAGCACACGACAAGAGAACATCCACAGAGTCCCTTAATTTACATATTTTACATATTCTCTGTTCTTTTAAAAGTTTATTTTCTTCTCTTAGTTTGTCTGAAAAGTCAGCGGGGTCAATGAGTTCAGGGGAATTTATTAATGTGTGTTTTTATGGCTGTTATGTTTTTTATGTGTTTATGTGCATTTTCCTATAAATTGACTTTAAATTTATGGGTGATCTGATATAATCTTTTTTTTTTTTTTTTTTTTTTTTTTTTTTTTTTTTTGGTAGTCGTTGGTGCATTGGAACTGTACATCGACACAAAAAGAGAACTGTCGGCAGTTTTCCCGCCGTCTGCTCAACTTTTGTGTTTCGTCCATGTGGACTCGTCAGGGGAGCCAAGATAGCATAGACAGGTGTTTTACTGTGTTCCTAATCTTGTGTTCACAAACCAGACATTTTCGGGGAGACGGAGCGTATGGATTGCAATACACGAGATGAGCACACGACAAGAGAACAAACTCATCGTCCCTCACCCTAATTACATTGTTTTTTACATATTCTCTGTTCTATTAGAAGTTTATTTTCTTGTCTTAGTTTGTCTGATAAGTTAGCGGGTGCAGGGGATTATTTGTATTGCCGGAGGGTGCTGTGTCATTTGCAGGTGATTGGTCTGATTGACCCCCGGCTACTGTAACATTTTGGGGATCATTTGTCGAGATGGTATCCCCATTCCCCATGTTATTGCTCGTTTTCTATTTCACCAAGAGCTTCCATCAAGGACTGCATATTAAATGAGCCCATTTCAACTACCATGCTGTGAGCAGATGGTGCGCCTAACCCAGCTCTTATCTCTCTGTCACCACCACCATTTCCCCCTTCATGTTTCTCTTCTATTCGAAGAATGGCTTCTACTAAAGACTGTAGATTAGGGAAATCGTCACCAACAGTTGTAAGTCTATTTTCTATAGCCCTTCTTACTAAATCTCGGGAATAACCCATTGCTATTACTGTCTGGACAGATGGTGCATCTAACCGAGCTTCGATCTCCCTTGCCTCTTTTTCATGGGTATGTCGGACTCGACTAACTTGGTCGATAGCGGAATTGCGTTGCAGTATTTCTCTGATGAAAGTTACTCCTTTACTTAGTTTCACATACCCACAATTTGGGAACCAACGCGCATGCTCAGTCCATACGTCATCCTGTGGCTCCCAGTTTCTCAGTCCCCCGCCACAGAAAAAGCATTTTACATTGTCCCCAAAGCCGGCGTAATATAACCCCGCTATGGAAAGTTCTCTTGGTGTTTGCCGCTTACTGTTAGGCCAGTTTTCAAATGTCGTTCTTCTTTTCTGTACAATTGCATACTGGGGATGCTTTGGTCGTTCAGTCACTATTGGGTTATCGTCAAACGATACATTACTCTGTTGGGTCGAATTTTGCTCCCTTCTTTGTCTTTGTTGTACGAATGGACACAACGGAAAATGTTTCAAATGTTCTCCAAATGCGTCATCGCCCCTGCTCCAAGATCCGATTTTCCCGCCGCAATAAGCACATTTTACAATATCTGAAGTCCCTAAATAAAAGAACCCCACCTTTGCGAGTTCACTGGGTCTGACAGAACAACTGTCTGGGAAATTAGCAAACGTTTGCATACGAGTTAATTCATTCTCCCTCATAATCAACATAAAATCCTCACTTTCGCGGACACTTGCCATTGTCGAAGTAGGGGATTGGGGATTGTTTTGGTTCGTTTTAGTTGGCGGTGACCGAACGTCAAGATTGGTAGTTGTGTCAACGCCGACTTGAGCGTTTGGATTAACGGCAGACCGAGGCGTCTTTCTAATGGCCTCGTTATTTAATACTGTCCTTTCATTTACATGGTTTCTTACTGCACTGGTAGTCCCATAGGGCGTTTCACCGCCCAATGAATTCCCGTTTGGTACCGTAAGCACTGCTCCTAAAGAGCCCTCAGCGTGTTGGGCACCTTGTGACAGCTGATTCCCAAGGGGCTGAAGTCCAAGAGGAGTGTAGATGGTTCTTTGAAGCCCTGCATTTTCTTCGGGAGAAGAGACGTCAACATATATAGGAATATTCTCTTTATTAATACCATTTATGTAGCGACAGTTTGGTGATACTTGGCGGTGTTTGTTTTCGGGGTTAATTGTCGCCCAATTTCAAACCTCGAACGCTGCGATGACAAGCAAAACATTCCACCTCATCGTCCCTGCCGGTGTAGAAAAAGCCGTACCTGGCCAGCCTAGCAGCGATGCAGGTGCCCAATCAGGCCAATTGGCAAAGGTTAAGAGTCGTTGGTACTCAAACCTGTGACGCTGTGCCGGACTCAGCGGACGGCGACCGTTTCCTTGTACATCGTCTTCATAATCTTTCAAACCTAGTGGTGACCTTCCTTTGCTCAGTGCCATTCTGCAATAAGAGCAAAAACCTAATGAACGCTATTGATTTCACCAACGCAGTTTTCCTTTTTAATCACCTTTATTTGCTAGAGAGATAATTTTTTTCTGATAACTTTATTTTATTTACCAAAGGCTTCTCATATACGAAATAATATAGTAGTAGCCACATGACAACTTGAGCTGACATAGGTACATCTACAACTTAACTTTGACTACCAGAGAGGGGGGTTTCCTCGCACGTCCTACGTCCCCCATCCTGACAGGTCTTAAAGTAGAACAGGTTTCTGATAACTTTATACAGTCGCTTAAAAAATTACTCCGCTTCTTTTGAACAAATGTCGTATGTTTACGGAGACCTAGTATTCAACGGTCCGTTCCATTAACTGAATTCTCGCTTTTGTTCAAACTTGTTCAAACAAGGTGATCGATAATACTTAACGGTTGACAGTTTCTCCGACAATTTAGACGCAGGTACATGTACGTTTCTTAGTCCTCTTTTATACTTATTTGCACTATGATGCTGCTAGAAAGATTTGATCAAAAGAGATTCAAGTGGTTTATAAATGTGTGCACAGGGTGTTTTGCGTCGTTGAAGTTAAAATGCATCATAAGATCGAGTGACACCGAGAAGACGCTTGCGAACGTTAAAAATAATACCACTGAACCTGTACTGCGTTAAGAAAAGGGGATTCCCCCATATTGTTTACCTCTACACAACTTTGAAACGACCAGTACACTTAAAAATAGACTTGATTTACCGAATAAACGGTGGAGTCAGTTAGGTGACTTTTTTGTTTACGACAATATCAAAAGTGCACACGTGAGGCAGACAGGCAGACATTGTCAAATTACAATGATAAACAATCCCAGATTTGAAATTGAAATTAAAGATAAAACAAAGGAAAAATTGCACAATGATTTGCAGTTATTATTACTGGGGGTATGTTAACATCTAATGATTGATCACAAGTCCTTAGCAGTAGGCGTACACTTTAAAGGTGTTTTGAAGAATACGTCTCTAAGGCTGAGACCAACTGCGTCCTCTTTGTAATTTCCCTTGGCAAAATTTAAAATACATGTATCAATAAACACACACACATTGTATAACTTGTGTAGCGTGAATTTCTTGCGACTTCAGAAAAAAAGGAAAATAAACATATTTTCAATTGTTAAGGCACACGTCTATATTTAAATCTCCTTTATTTGGGGAATCCCTTCGTTTTGATCATTTCGATCTTACTATTTACTACACCCTCCCCCCTCCTCCAATTAGACCTGTGCATTGAATGAATGTCATTAGGGATTTGGACTGGGTCTATTAGACAATAATTTGTTAATTTTTATAAAAATTAGTTATAATTAGAAATGATAGAGTATCAATCATATAGATAAAAAATGAAAATACTTTTTTATGATATAGGGTGATCACAGTGACTTCCACAGTGACTGGATTTATTGAAATTAAATGATACATGTAAGCTGATAAAGTATCACAATCTAGTCTTTTTTTAAATTCATGATTCTATTGTTTGCTTATTTTGCCAAAGGAAATGAATTTTGTGCTTCCAACCTTGCTTATCAGTTTATTATCGGGTTACCAAGAACTTGATCGAGCGATTTTCGAAGCTTCTTTGCTTTATGACTATACACTTGGATTATTGTTTAAATTAATGGTATTAGATAGATCATAATTATAAAAACCTAAAAGACAAATTCAGTTAATTTCAGTCCGATGATATAACTGTCACAATTTGGGAGTTACAAGCTATTGAATTTTTATTTATTCAAAAAGTTTTACATTGTATTTACTAAGCAATATTTGATTTCATGTAAGAAAGTAGTTATTGATAATCAAATTTACTTTCTTGTCTGGGAATCCAATTTTATCCTAATACAGTGTATAACCATCTCACTTATTTTGTGATGGACCAAGGATTGATGTGACCAAACCGAGTACAATAAGTCTAATAAGTCTTACGGAACATAAAACACTAATCTTTAAGCATTTTGAATTATTGAAAAATGCATTAAATTAATGGAGTAAGAAAAAACAAAACAAAACTGAAATGGAACAAGTTCACCAAAAAGAAAACGCAGCAAAATGCATGACTGTGTTTACTTATTGAAAGAGATATCAGCTACAATATATGTTTTGTTAGTCAGGGATATGCCAGTGCACTTTAACATTCCCAGCTTTCCTATAAATTACCGAGGAAGTATACGTAAAATGTGTTTACATTCTTTGGATTCCCCACACCACGCTTTTAATTTGCACAACAGTTTACAGGTCTTAAAGTAAAACTGATTCCTGATAACTTTATACAGTCGGTTAAAAAATTACCCAACTTCTTTTGAACACATGTCGTATGTTTACGGAGACCTAGTATTCAACGGTCCGTTCCATTAACTGAATTCTCGCTTTTTTAAAAAAATTTCCCGTGAACACTTGTTCAAACAAGGTGATCGATAATACTTAACGGTTGACAGTTTCTCCGACAATTTAGACGCAGGTACGTTTCTTAGTCCTCTTTTATACTTATTTGCACTATGATGCTGCTAGAAAGATTTGATCAAAAGAGATTCAAGTGGTTTATAAATGTGTGCACAGGGTGTTTTGCGTCGTTGAAGTTAAAATGCATCATAAGATCGAGTGACACCGAGAAGACGCTTGCGAACGTTAAATATAATACCACTGAACCTGTACTGCGTTAAGAAAGGGGGATTCCCCCATATTGTATACTACAATTTTGAAACGACAGGTACACGTAAAAATGGAGCTTGTTTACCGAATTAACAATGGACTCAGTTAGGGGATTTTTTTTGTTTACAATAATATCAAAAGTGCACACGTGAGGCAGAGTGGCAGACATTGTCAAATTACAATGATAAACAATCCCAGATTTAGCATACACATCGGTGGTTTAGAAATCATCGAAATTAAAGATAAAAGGAATGAAAAATTGCACAATGATTTGCAGTTATTATTACTGGGGGTATGCTAGCATCTAGTGATTGATCCCAAGTCCTAAGCAGTAGGCGTAAAGTTTAACGGTGTGTTGAAGAATTAAATAAGTCTCTAAAGTTCAGGCCAAAGGCGTCCTCTTTGTAATTTCGCTTGGCAAAATTTAAAATACATGTATCAATAAACACACACATTGTATAACTTGTGTAGCGTGAATTCTTTTCGACTTCAGAAAAAAAAATGAATATATCTCCAGCTATTAAGGCACCCGTCAATATTTAGATCTTTATTTGGGGAATCCCTTCGCCTTGATCATTTCGAGTGTTTACTACACTCGAGTCCTCTCTCTTTTTGAATAGAGTGCTCTGCTAGTGCACATGTTCATAGGTCTCACTGGACTGAAGTACTGGGCTGCATGTATAGAGTAGTAAGGACTAATAAGGACTTTTTTAAATATAATCTCGTGATATATCAAAGGTCCTTTGCCTGATAACTTCTGGTTAAATATCAATCTCTTTAATTTTTATTAATATAAAGAACTATTATAATCATTTTATTGACAATGATTAGATATTCGCCCATTTTCAATTTAAGAGAACAATTCATTTATTCCTTGTTACAGATTGCATGATATGATAACATGTTTGATATAATATATAATATATGACGACCTACTAAAGTAGGCGTGTTAATCGATCGATAAACGTACTTTGTACACACTGTCAGGAGTTGAATCTGCAGATGCTGTAATGTTGACACTGCTATGAGCATCAGATTAACACACGTAAGTTTAAAATCATAATATGTTAAAAGTCTGCAATGATGTGTTGACTTAATCATAGCATGTGTGTACAAAGACAGACGTGTGTTGATAACGAATGTAAACTGACAGTAGATGAATCATATTCGCGGCTATTTAAGATGTATGATGTTTAGAAATATGATAAGTCACATCGGCGTTACTGAATGTAGGGGATTAGCGAACATTCAGAAAGACCCATCGGGTTAGCGGGTTTGGTCCGGGGTTTTTGTCTAAGTGTTATGACGTGTCTGACACGCCTCACCGAACTTTTAGGGGGTATCAGCATCAAAACATAAGGCAGATTGATTGCCGGCAGTAAGTTAATAAGTCACTTAATATAAACGGAGCTCTCGCGTCCGACAAGATAATTACATGTACACGTTAAGATCGGTCAACATCGGTCACATGTACAGAGAAATAAATGTACTGCTCGATGTGAAAAGGGACAAGGTGATCTGAATACAAAATGAAATATTCATTTTTTATATTTTATCGGTTTTATAAAATATATACATTACCATTTTACTTTCGTATAATGTAACTTCTATACTGGCGTAAAAGATTGGAATAAGTTTATATGTTTCATACTTGTTTCATACCTGTATCATGCACACTGTAAATACACTGTGTATTCTGGTTTGTCCTTACAGACACATTGAACTTGCGTCATGAGATACTTATTCTATCATATTCAAACAAATATATGAGTTGCTAAATAAAGCATCACCGAGAAGACTTATTTGAGGCATGATGACAAGTGATTCGCACTCACAGAGCGGCTTAAGGTTTTTAAGTTTCATTTTTTTTTTCATTTCTTACTAAACTGCCCACAGCCGAACAAAACTGGCTATCCAGCATATTACATGAGCACATGTACATGTATGCAAGGCATAAGAAAATTTTGAGTAACTAGCCCGGAAACGATCAGCGCCTGCTAGCCCACTCGACTTAGTACATAAAGACCTGTCAACACTCCCGATCTCCCGATTCAGACTAAAAATCTCCCCATCTGTCACAACAAGGGTCACAGTGCAGAGACTAGCCGTCTATTTAACCAGATACATATCTGTTAATATCTAGTGAAAAATCAATCTGTGAGCCAGTTAGAGGGTAGGTAGAAGTTGTGTAAGAAGTTCTTAAACGTTTAAAGGTGGAGTATAGTGTATTAAAAATGTTAAAGGTACTGTAATAGTTTATTTTCTTTCATATAGCAAAATGTGTTTTCTTTCTGCATTAAATGATTCAATAATGCATGTACCTTAGTGTTGATTTGAAATACTGAAAATTCCCTCGAAAATATAAAATATCGTCGTTTATATTTCTCGTTGCTATGTATAAGCATAGGCAGCTCAAAAGCTTTTGTCGTCAATCTAACACCTTTCTATTCTGAGGTGAGTACTGCACGTTACTTCATCCGTGAACAATATTTTATCATGATAATTGGCATAGTTGACCACAAATGTGCAGGTTCACGTGCAGGTTCCATTATTTTGGTTTAGATGTTTTGTCAGGCAGTTACGAGTCCCTTATTACAAATCTTCCTTTAACAAAGGTATTATGAATAGAAATTATCAAATACAAGGAAATGTAGGAAATTGATATGAAGTTAGGACTGAAATCGTTTCGTTTGCACTTTCAAATTTTATCTGATAAAGATGATATGTCTTTATTGAAAACTAACAAACAGATCGACATAAGGTTGATAACTACGCCACTACAAACCTCTAGATTTCTCCGATGCCTGTGTCACAGCTAATCTAAATGCCATTCGAAGTTTTGTAGGGACGTTTAGATCTATCCTGTTGTCACGTGTCTCCTAGTTTCTCATATATGCAAAGCCTTAAGTAAAAAGATAACAGAATTAATGCCAAATTATCCTTGGAGCAAACAAAGCTGAAAAAAAAACTGCGTTGGTGAAATCGATAATATTAAGTTCTCGCTCTTACTTCAGAATGGCACTGAGCAAAGGAAAGTCACCGCTAGGTTTGAAAGATTATGAAAACGATGTACAAGGAAACGGTCACCGTCCGCTGAGTCCGACACAGCGTTACAGGTATGAGTACCAACGACTCTTAACCTTTGCCAATTGGCCTGATTAGGCACCTGCTTCTGCTGCTAGGCTGGCCAAGTACGGCTTTTACTACACTGGCAGGGACGATGAAGTGGAATGTTTCGCTTGTCATCGCAGCGTTCGAGGTTGGAAATTGGGCGACAACCCCGAACACAAGCACCACCAAGTATCACCAAACTGTCGCTACATAAATGGTGTTAATAAAGAGAATATTCCGATATATGTTGAAGTCTCTTCTCCCGAAGAAAATGCAGGACTTCAAAGAACAATCTACGCTCCTCTTGGTCTTCGTTCCCCTGGGACTCGGGTGTCACAAGGTTCCCAACATGCTGAGGGCTCTTTGAGAGTCGCGAATGGAAATTCAATGAGAGGTGAAGTCACCCATGGCACTACCAGTGAATTAAGAAACCGTGCTGACGAAAGGACAGAATCACGGAACGAGGCCACCGGAAAGACGCCTCGGTCTGCTGTTAATCCAAACGCTCAAGTCGGCGTTGACACTACTGACAATCTTGCCGTCAGGAGGTCACCGCCAACTGAAACGCGTCAAAACAATCCCCATTACTCTTACACTACTTCTCCGACCCTTACAAATGTCCATGAGAGTGAGGACTTTATGTTGATTATGAAGGAGAATGAGTTAACTCGTATGCAAACCTATGCTAATTTCCCAGACAGTTGTCCTGTCAGACCCAGTGAACTCGCAAAGGCGGGGTTCTTTTATTTAGGGACTTCAGATATTGTAAAATGTGCTTATTGCGGCGGGAAAATCAGATCTTGGGGCAGGGGCGATGATGCATTTGGAGAACATTTGAAACATTTTCCGTTGTGTTCGTTTGTACAACAGAGACAAAACCGAGAGCAGAGTTTGACCCAGCAGAACAATTTATTGTTTGACGATAACCCAATAGTGACTGAACGACCAAAACATCCCCAGTTTGCAATTGAACAGAACAGGATTTTGACGTTTGAAAACTGGCCCATCAGTAAGCGGCAAACACCAAGAGAACTTTCCATAGCGGGGTTCTATTACGCCGGCTTTGGGGACAATGTGAAATGCTTTTTCTGTGGCGGGGGACTGAGAAACTGGGAGCCACAGGATGACGTATGGACTGAGCATGCGCGTTGGTTCCCAAATTGTGGGTATGTGAAACAATGTAAAGGAGTGTCTTTCATCAGAGAAATACTGCAACGCAATTCCGCCAACGGCCAATTTTCCGGCCAAGCAGGTCGGTCCCCACATACCCATCAGATAGAGGCAAGAGAAATAAAAGCTCGATTAGATGCACCATCAGTCCAGAAAGTAATAGCAATGGGTTATTCCCGAGATTTAGTAAGAAGGGCTATAGAAAATAGACTTACAACTGTTGGTGACGATTTCCCTAATCTACAATCTTTAATAGAAGCTCTTCTTAGAATTGAAGAGGAACAAGAACTGGGGGATAGCAAAGGGGATACCAATTTGAGAAATGATCCCCAAAATGTCACAGTAGCCAGGGGTCAATCAGACCAAACACCTCCAAATGACACAGCACCCTCCGCAAATACAAATAACCCCCCTGAACCCATTGACCCCGTTATCTTATCAGACAAACTAAGGGAAGAAAATAAACTTTTAAAAGAACAGAGAAAATGTAAAATATGTAAGGTGAGGGACGCTGAGGTTGTTCTCTTGCCGTGTGCTCATCTTGTGTGTTGCAATCCATGCGCTCCCTCTCTCCGAAAATGCCCAGTTTGTGAATCCAAGATCAGGGGCACAGTAAAAACCTATCTCTGCTAGCTTGGCTCCCCTGACGAGTCCGCATGGACGAAACACAAAAGTTGAGCAGACGGCGGAAAAACTGCCGACAGTTCTATTTTGTGTCGGGAGTATCACCACAGAGCTGGAAGATAAAGTTAGATAAACATATTTTCCCAATTTCAACTGTTTTCTTTGTTCAAATAGCTGCATATTTCAAGGAAATGGTAAAAATAAATGGCCAAATTCGATATCTTGTATCATTTCTTAGATGCGTTTTATAAATGCTGATTGTATGAAGGTTTAGGAAATTAACTTAATGTAAATTCAAAAGCTGGCCAGTGCGCATGAATGGTGTAAGAAATAATTTAATTAATAATATATAATACAAAATGTTGATATCCATAAAAAATAAAAAACATTCAACACTTATTCTATCAGTTTTTACATTTAAATCTTTAATCAACTCTGTACCAGTAAATTATTTCGACTACTGCTCCAGCGAAATATATGAAAAAAAAGGTTTGTCTGTGATAATATTTATAATACATTAAAGTTTCCCCGCGCAGGTTATTGGAGAATTTTGAAAGCATGTATGGTATCACAACTTACTTGTGAAAAATCAATGAAATTTCGTCTCGCAAACAAGGAGTTCGAGATATAACGCATCAAGATGAGATATAAAATATTATTGTCGTCTTGGTGGTCGCGATGGTTTGGACGTAGTTCTGACCTTGGAGCTTGTGTACTCACTGGTGTCGTGTTAGCGGCCGCAGTGGCATTGTCTGGCTCAGCCAGACCTGTGCTGGGTTGAAATTCTGTTGTAAATTGCGTTAGAGAAGACAACGGCCATTCTGTTGTCTATAGTGCAGCAGTTACCTACTTTGCTGCATAAATGAAATAGTTATGTCCTTTAGATGTAACAGTGATTGGGATTTTGTTTTCGTCTTATCCATATGTATCGTATATGTAATTAATGAGAAGGTGGATTTGAACGATTATGTCTGGAGGTCGTGATGATAAAAATGCTTTGACTCTTTTATTTTTCAGCGTATCTTATTGTGGCCACATGCAGGGTTATATAGCATGTCCTCTTTAATATATGTCTAAATTAGCTTGGCGTTAACAGAAAACGAAAAGGCATATCTTGGAATATAGCATATCGGGAATATAGCAATTCGGGACTGTAACTGATAATCAGTGGCATTGAAACAGAATATTCGTCACCATCCAGAGTTTATGTGCACAACACTCTATGCATACACCAATTACCCTACTTTCTAAAAGCATGTTGAGGCATTAAGAAATTAGCTCAGTGACCCCTCTACCGCTACTGCCATAAAGAAACTTGTTAGATCTTGATTGGCTTATTTCAATTATCATCTCTATCGGTGTTCCTCAATAAAAGGTCAAACATATAGATAAATATATCTGCACGTGTCCTTGCCCGCACACCTGTTGACAGTCACGTCACACTAAATCTCCGACAACTTTCCTGTTTATACATAAGAGTAAGGATTCAAGTTAAAATTTAAGTTTATGGCCAGGCTGTTTTTTTTTTAATATTTATGTGAACTCGACTTCCCCTACCACTTTCCTCTAGTCACGCTTCTCTGAACAAACTGTTGCTAACAGCATGCACATCCAGGCTTGCAACAGATTACTCTTCACTTTATTATGAAGTGCATCTTTCCTGGCGTTTGCCCTCAACGTGCCGACAGTGATGTGTACCAGCAACTCCCTCTTATCCTGCTTTTATCGAACTCTGCAGCCTTAAGATATATGTCTTGGCTTTTTCTGTAGCCTTGATCAGACATCCATCTAAAAATTCGATGTTGCCGTCAAAAAATATTTTTGTCCTGTGTTAACTGTATGTGCACCACGCTGTATCTGAACCTGCTGCCGCACTCTTTAAAACATCTTGCATTGCGTTCCACATCTTTATCTCAATAAACAAGCCAATAGCGCCTTTCACTTTAAAACTCCTCATTTGTTCTGCCTCATAGGTGGTGTGTTTTTCTGTGGTCTTTCACTTTTGAGCTGTTATTTCGGGTACACAACCCTATTTCTACTGCAAAAACGACGGTAGAGCGGCACCATATGGGTTACACATAAAATCAAGATCGAGACGGCAATACCGAATTCTAGAACCTATAGGGTGTTAACGTAGGATGAAATCTCCATTTTGCGCATTTAACCTAAATATTAGTCGGTTGAATTATTGATAAGTCATTTTACTGAACCATGTCAGCTGTACCCCATCAAATAAATAAACATTAATAGAATGAATAAGTTATGTAAAGAAACGACGGTAAACTATTTCAGAATTTTTATAAAGTCCTTTTATAAACGTAGGCTCAGCATAAACAATATTGGGGCACGGTTCTGTATTATGCAAGTTGTCATTAAGACGGAAATTCCTTGCCGGGGGTATTGTGTTGTAATCAAGACAACCAAGCTCAATGTAAGTACAGATGCGCAGTCAATTTGGAGCCCAAAGTAATAAGTTTTTCTATGGTCAAAATCGCCCCCACCCCCCACCACACCCGTCCCTTGCACTACCCCCACAAAATATATAAACAAACAAACAAACACTGAAAATGTTCACAAACCGTCTCGCCTAATATTCAGTCTATTTATTTCCTCTTTTTCCCTATATAAGTCGCTGGCCATCAGCAGATACCACGTTGACTGTGAAAGCGAGAAGCGACTCTTTGCAAAATGGCAAATCCATATATTTTGCTTCTTAATTTCTTAATCGCGCAAACTATTTTTAAGCCCACACATGGGAACATTGGTAGGTACCGCTATATCAAACCTGATCAGCAATAGTTGCATTTTGTACAGTTTTTTTCGTCTAATTGTCTAGGAAACGAGAATGCACTATGTTAGGTTAAATATTTCAGCCAGGAAAGAAACTGAATTCATTAAAAAGCACGCGGATTGCCGTTATTGGCTTTTTGACGACACATGGAAATCAACATCTTCATAATTGTACTGTGGGTTAAGACATAATTATACTGACATTATTGTTCTCTCTCTCTCTCTCTCTCTCTCTCTCTCTCAGTTTGTAGTGTTTCAATTGTTTTTTTAAGTTCCCCGATCTTGTGAAGAGGTGTTGCGGCACTTTGGTGGAGGAGCATTCAGCGCAGGTGTGTACACCATAGATCCGGACGGCCCAGGTGGACAGCCACCATTTCAGGTCACGTGCACAACGTCGAAAGATCTCCCAGGACATGGTATCACATTGGTGACACACCAGAGTGCCTCCACACAGCCAAAACGGTTCCACAATTCAAGCCGTGTAGTTGTACCTGTAGATTTTTATTACAAACCGACCATGGCCCAGCTCGAAAGCCTCACCCAAGTTTCCGGAAATTGCCGCCAGTTTGTCAAGGTTTTGTGCTATCATGCACAGCAGTTTTACGAAGCGAACTGGTGGGTTTCCAGACAAGGTTATGGGATGTGAAACTGGGGCGGTGCCCCCACCAACAGCAACATGTGCGCTTGCGGTGTACAGGGAACTTGTGATGACCCGAAGTAGGTACCCCTCGGCACAATAAAAACTCAGAATAAACAATAAACTGTGTGTTTTTATTATTTGACTCCGAGTCTTAATTACAACGTCAGAAGCTTTTATTTGTATGGGAATTTATCTAAGTCAGAGCATTTTTAATTTAAATCTTTAAGAATTTTATTATTTTTCAGCAAATCGGCAAATGCATGTTTTTCTTATCACAAGGTTTTTGGATTGTTAAAATGTATGTGGTAATTTCATACAATCGTTTCTTTATTTAGAAAACACTGCAGCTGTTTAATCAATGACAAGGTTTGGAGAAGTGACGAGGGCTACCTAGAAGACAAACGCTATTTACCAGTAACACGTGTGTACGTGAGGGACACAGACAATGACTTCCCCGAAGAGGCTTACTTAACTGTCAAAGGCCTGGAATGCTACGGGGGTAAGTTCATGAACTCCAAAAATGATGGCAGGGCCGTGGACTAAGGGTTGCAGGGGGCAGTTGCGCCTTGACATTAATCTCTATGAAGTGTAGGCCTTTTCCTATCTCCCAACTTACCGCAGTAATGCAATCTGGATGAGTGCCACAGACAGGCACCTTCATTCATGTATAATACAGGCTTTAAGCAGCTGCCCAAAGCATTTTCCCATCCTACAGTCTGGGATAGATATCACTACACGTGCTCTTTGATTAAGAAAAATATACGCCCCATTAGTTGAATATTGTGTAGTCATCGCTGCACAGCCGTAGATATTTGATATGTGCAAATATATTATTAACCGTATAACATTTGGGAAATTAATAGCGAAAATAATGTTGATATTAATAAAAATATTGCATCATACCGGTATATTCTTTCTATAATGTTCCTTTTTTTCAGAGATAAACAAAGGACACTCCACAGAAAGGTGCAGTATTGATGCTTATATGTCTATTATTTAGAGTTCAGAAAATTTAACTTATAAAGTATCGATACATTTTAATTTGAATACCTTATATAATGCATTGTTTTACGTCAAACAATAAGCGTTAGTCTAGCAATTTGTAATTGTTCTGGATATTCCAACACTGTCCCCAAATCACCACGGTATAAGTATACATTTACCATTTCCAAATCCATTTTTTTTTTCAATTTTAATTTTCAAGCTTTTGCGTCATTCTCGTATTAGGGTTAGAGACTTGGGTGAGACTAACACATCATTTCAACAAAGTAATTTTTCTGATAATTTATGACATTTCTCACTCACAATCAGGACCCGTTACCCTTACCCAAGACCGTTAATGAAATAACTCCCTTCAACCAATTTTCGAAATCTTTCTAACTTTAACGGTAACGAGTGAAATTCTATTCATCAGTTTCCAGTGAAATAAGGATACAAAATGAGAAACATAGAACTCTTTAAAAAAAGTGATGGTGTGTCTGCTTGTCTTCTTATTTTACCATACTCTGAAATATATATATATATATATATATATATATATATATATATATATATATATATATATATATATATATAATAACTGAAAGATTGAAGAAACGATACACACATCACTAGCTATAGCCGTTTTATCCTTTGCTTTATATCCCAGTCATAATGCCATATGCATTTTGTATTACACATACTGTTTGCTATTAAACTATTATTAAATAGTAGAGAGTAACCTGTACACACTTTTGTGCTCAATAAAGAAAGAAAATTATTTTTAATGTTTAAGATGCCGGTGTAGCCTCCACGCCGAGGAGAGTTCCACCACGCCGGGTCCTCTACTCCTGCAGCTACCAGACATTGTCTATGGTCAGGGTCAGAGCGACGTGTGGCTAGAAGAAGG